AAACCGTCGAAACGTTGCATAAAANTTTAACCAGTGATTGTCGTTCCATAAAGCTGTGTCTATATATCGTACTCACAATTGCTAAATGCCATTCAAAGACTTTACTATAGTTATTGTCTGGAGATCCTATACTTCTATATTGATTGACTGAAGATTCTAGACTACCGGTAGGTCTTGCTTCGGTATTGGTAGTTGCGGTGATTGCTGGTGGTTTCTAGACTTCTATAAACTATAGACTGTAATAAAATTGAAAGTCCGCGTCAGAAAGGATACAGGGGGCAATGCCTACAACTAAACACCATACACCGTGTAATACTTGCCCTTCCAAACAATCAAGTCTTACTACGGGACAGTGTCAGACTAGCCAATGTATCACGTTGAGAGTTGTTCTAAATGCTTTGTTGATTTCGTTTTGTTTTACAATATTGTAAAGTAGTCTAATGTACGCATCACGACCTTGACATTGATGCAATGATTACTTCCGGATGTGAATTAAAGATAAATCGCATTATTTATTGCTGTCATTTTTAAAGGGTAATTGTTTAAAATCTGCTTTAAGCCTAAGGTAGCATTTATAACCAACCGATATTTAGTCATTATACTTTTACCGTGAATTTACAAAGATCAATTTTCAATCAATTTTCTGAAACTGGAAGTGGAAGGAAGGGAAATAAAACAGCTTGTCTTGTTTCACTTTCAGAAAGTAAAATCCTACATTTCATTGACTATAAGGCCCTAAAACATTCTAAAACAAATAGACATGTGTCTGCAAATTGGCACTGTTGCTGTTTCGCCCCCTTGCCTTCCCGTAGAACTATTGGTTTGAAATTTGGCAGAGAGGTACTTGTATGTGTCCTGAATAGTGAATATTCAAAGCTTATTTCAGACAATTCTAACGCTTCCTTCCATTTTAAATTAATTTTCAAAGTGTTTAACTGACTGAAACTTTATAATGGCGAAATGGCAGGGGGACGTAACTCATTTGTTTAGTCGTACTCGAGTCGTTTCGACCAAATTATAAATATTTCACAGCGGTTATATTATTGAGTCAAAACTCAGGGGTTCATGACAATAGTTTATCTGGGAAAGATCAGTACCAAGAGATTTGACCAAGGACCAGCTGGTAAACAAAATAGTTGCTTCTTTTTTTTTTTTTTTAATTTTTAGAGTTTGCTTCTTCCTTCTTATTTTTTATTATCAGAGTTTGAATCTTTTAGTAATAGAAATATGGCTCATTACAACAGAAGAGCTGAACCACACTTTAACACAAATATACCTGGCACTAGAAAAATACCACGTAACAATCATGACGATGATGATGATGATGATGAAGAATATGAAATTTTAGATGTAACTAAATATGACGGTTGGATTGAAAAGATGTTTGGTGATATTTCTAAACAGACAGTAGCTAAACAAGCTGTTATTGGTACAGGATCTGGCTGGTATGTGTTTTAAGAAGAGAATGACATTTATTGTGAGAAGATACATTTTTGTTTTTCATAAGAGTAGAGAACAACTTGTAGGGAATTCTTGCTTTCTTTTACACCTCAGTCACACATTTTATATCATTTCAATTATTGCCAATTCATAAACATATTTATCTTTGACAAGTTTGATGGAAACTGTAAAATGTATAGAATTCACTTATAGATGTTTTCGAGTTTCTGGGCATTTTGTAGTTATATTATCAATGAAACTTCAGAAACCCTTGATTTTGAAGCTTGGCAAAAATGTATACGTGAACTCTATACATTTTACAGTTTCAATCAAACATGCAAAATCAGAATTATATTCTTATGAATTGACATTAAAGGAGATAAAATTGCTGTGTTATTTTGATATTTTCTGAATTTATATACTGGTAAATTATATATAATCTGCCTACTTATAGGGTAGCTGGATGGTTGTTTATGAAAGTTGGTAAAGTAGCTGCTGCATCTATTGGACTCACTGTCTTATTAGTTCAGGTTTGTTTACATTGAATATGGTATATATATGATTTCAAAATACTATGATATATAGATATTTATTACTACTTCAGTAGTTCGTATTACATATTTACTATGTAGAAAATGGAATATGAATATATATATATGAAATACTGATGAATAAAATAGGCAATTGCTTGCATCTGTTTGCAGGTTTCCATGTTTTTTTTGTCTTTTTTTTTATATATTTTAGACCACATTGAACTAGCCATTCCTTCAAATTGCAATACAGTAAATTTGGCCATTGTTTGGTTGTGTTAACATATTTTATTTTTTATGACACTCATAGAGAGGAAATAATATTATTTGATGTATAAATATTGATGTTGAATTTTATGTATTATTGAAGGTTGCTCAGCATCAGGGTTATTTAACTATTAATTGGAGTCAGTTTCAATCAAGTGTTGTTAAAGCTAGAAGACAAATGGAAAAATCAGCTAGAAAACATGTTCCTGGTCTCACTTCTAATGTAAGCTTTCTTAATGTTATAATTTCCACTCATTTATTTACCATTTGTTAAGAGGGTTATTAACTCATGAAATGTGTATGAGAGCCAGTCTGATTTTCACAATTTTGTTCATTGCGTTTGAAAGTTTAAAAGAAGAGACGTATTTTCTTGAGACACTTCCATATATATAGCAATGACATCTATAGAAATAGAAAAAGAAATTCCTAGTTATAGATATTTTTGAGGGAATTTTGTGATTTTCCTACATTTCTAGTACTTCTGGAGACTATTTATGTTTCAAGACTCAAATTAACCCCCCAAAATGGTGCATCTGTCCCTTTTAGACTTAATATAGATTTTTTAGGATATAACAAATGAATTGGTGCATTTCAATTGTTTTATTTTTTCAGTTCCAACATTTTTTTAGAAGAAATATTGTATTAGCTGGAAGTTTTACTGGTGGATTTTTAATGGGACTTGCATTTTAATGTTTGTGAAATAGTCTAGTCAGAGAAAAAGATGGTGCTTTACTATTCAAGTATTTAAAAACAATATACTCAACAGCCCTCATTCTTCACTAGATTTGAAATAATAGCCAGTTCTGATGTGACAAATAACACTATACTTGACAGACCTTATTCTTGAATTATTAAGAAGTTCTGATGTGAAATATTGTGTGATAGGTATTTAGTGGCTGACTGTAATAGAACACAAGTCGTGATGGAAGAATACAATAGCATTATTTCTATAACATGATGTTTCAAAGTGAAGGAATATAACTACTGATATGATTTCATTCGGAATCAGGGATAAAATCACTGCAACTCGTCGCCAGGAATGTATTGGTGCTGGGGCTCAGATTTTGTATTCAGAAAATATTAAGAATTAAAGGTCCAGAGAACTCATTTCTGACAATTTTTAGCTGTTAAAATGTATCTTTTTGATTTGGTAGAAAGAAACTGTAAATGAATCAATCTCTGCTGAACTGAGGAAGGTTTTGCTAGGGCTTTATTCTCCCTTGCTGGGGCCCTGCCGCCACGGACCCCACCCTAACGCAGGGGCTGAATCACTGTGTTGATAGAAGTGGACCAAATACATTTAAGTCAATGTTTGACAAGAACTGTTTAACAACAGACTGTGCATTTGACTATATTTAACAGCTGGTGGAATATTAGTGGTTTTCTCCATTGATTTTGCTTGAAAATTTAAACCAAATCAAATATATCCTGCAGAAACAGTTTTAAAACATGGTTTTATATATAGTAAATTTTGAAAAAAACATTATTAGTGAGTGTGGAACAAGAATTGATTTAAGATCATTGGTAAAACAGGATCCAAAACATATTTTGTTTATTTCGTACTGTTTTAGAGACGTTTAGATTTAGAATAATGTATGATGTTATATATAAAATAATATATGTGCAATAAAGATGTTTTGTAAATAACTCACTGTGAACTGATCTTGCATTTCTTAATTAAACTGATTAATTGATTGCAATGATGTCAAACTCATTTCTTGTACCTTTCTATAGTTGCATGAATATAATTTTGTACATCTGGGTCTGGGGCCTTATTCTTGAAAACTTGTGATGATTTTAGTGTTTCAGTCATCAATCACTAAAATCTATTTGAAATTTAGTTTTACTATCCATTCAGAATTTCTTAATTCTTAAAATCAGAATTTTATTTAAGTTAAGTTTTGGAGAATAAGGCCCCTGAATAACTTAAAACACGAACCATCCACTTAATTTCCAACTCAAATATAATAATTTATTCTTTATTTCATCAACAATCAACTTGCTTAAACACTGGCATTCAATTAGTAATTAAAAGGAAGCCATTGCTATTTCTGTATGTATACAACTAGCAGGGCTTGTTTCTCATCCATCACAAAATTCTTGTTTTGTCCTAAAATCCCTTAATAATTCTGATTCCCTCCTAAATAATGTATTTATATTCTCAAAAACTAAAGAATAAATCCTGAGATACATGAGTTTTTTCGTTTTTTTTGTAACTCAAGAAAGGTTTTTGTGTGATTTTTCATATTTTATTCCATCACAGCACCCTGATAATTTCCCAAACTTTTCACAACATTTCTTCATGTCTTCTAATACTGATTCACATTTACTTTCTTGGTAATTATTAGCTGAAACAAACAGAAAAAGAAAATGATATTAAAGTCGTTAGCTCCAGTAACAAGTAATTTTTTTTAATTTTCATGTTAATTGCCATCACAATTCTCAATTTTTTGTTTCGTGCTATGGTGTAGAGATCCATCTTGTGGGATAGTGCTTGAATCTGGTATTTGGTTGGCTTCAATATGAAGTCAAATATTTTCCCTTTAACAACATTACAAAAGATACAACATATAGGAATTACCTTGCAGACATTTCTGTATGGCACAAGCTTGTTTCTGACATGGGTCTGTTTTTGGCATTTATAATATCTAGAAAGAAAATAAGCAAATTATAGGTTATGTTTCTAGAAATCAATATATGAAACCATGGTATGTATGGAAAAACATGGCAAGCACCTTTACATAATATGTAGACATCATAATCATGTTAATTTCTATAACTGATAACAGTCAGTCTTGTTTGTTAAGGAAGGATTAACTTTGACAGTCTCATTATTTAGAATTTGTTTTGAAATCTACTGTGACCTATAATATCAAAAAAAATATCTGAATTGATTTACTCAATTTAAAGGTGAAAGGTCAATATACATTAATTCAACTCTTCTATATCAGTTTGCTCAAAGCCTATCTTATCTCTATTTATCTTGTGTTATAATTTGAGGAGAAATTTTGCTGATAATTTCATAAAACTCAACATTTAGGTATACCATATATTTGTGTATATAGTGGACAGTTTTTTACCCTAAAATAAGAAACAATCCAAAGTGGGGGTGCGTAGACAACATTGCTCTTGTGTTGTTCTTACATAGTTATAACATTTTATCACAACACTATATCAATATCAATATTGCCAAGCCACCATTTAGTTATTGTGTGTGCTATAATGGAATATCCACAGTGTTCGGTGACCTCAAGATATAATGGGATATAGTTTTTCAATCACTTGTGAAGTATACCTTCCGATATTAAGCAGGACTTCACTTCAGGACTTTCACCATTATTATTGATATTATGATGTCACCATTATTATTGATAGTATGATGCTACCATTATTATTGATATTATGATGCTACCATTATTATTGATATTATGATGTTACCATTATTATTGATATTATGATGTCACCATTATTATTGATATTATGATGTTACCATTATTATTGATATTATTATGTTACCATTATTATTGATATTATGATGCTACCATTATTATTGATATTATGATGTTACCATTATTATTGATATTATGATGCTAACATTATTATTGATATTATGATGCTACCATTATTATTGATATTATGATGTTACCATTATTATTATTGATATTATGGTGTCACCATTATTATTATTGATATTATGATGTTACCATTATTATTATTGATATTATGTCACCATTATTATTATTGATATTATGATGTCACCATTATTATTATTGATATTATGGTGTCACCATTATTATTGATATTATGATGTTACCATTATTATTATTGATATTATGTCACCATTATTATTATTGATATTATGATGTCACCATTATTATTATTGATATTATGATGTTACCATTATTATTATTGATATTATGTCACCATTATTATTATTGATATTATGATGTCACCATTATTATTATTGATATTATGGTGTCACCATTATTATTGATATTATGATGTTACCATTATTATTATTGATATTATGTCACCATTATTATTATTGATATTATGATGTCACCATTATTATTATTGATATTATGGTGTCACCATTATTATTGATATTATGATGTTACCATTATTATTATTGATATTATGTCACCATTATTATTATTGATATTATGATGTCACCATTATTATTATTGATATTATGGTGTCACCATTATTATTGATATTATGATGTTACCATTATTATTATTGATATTATGTCACCATTATTATTATTGATATTATGGTGTTACCATTATTATTATTGATATTATGGTGTCACCATTATTATTGATATTATGATGTTACCATTATTATTATTGATATTATGATGTCACCATTATTATTATTGATATTATGGTGTCACCATTATTATTGATATTATGATGTTAGCATTATTGTTATTGATATTATGTCACCATTACCATTATTGATATTATGGTGGCCCCATTATTATTGATATTATGATGTTACCATTATTATTGATATTATGATGCTATTGATCATTAAGGCTCTGCAATGGCTGGGAAATTATGAAAGTAGTTATTCTCATGGGTAAATTTAGGGATGGCATAAGGTCATAAAGATGAAGAAACAACACAATTTAAACTAGGCTAAATCCTTTTTTTATCAAAATAAAATTTAAACATTATACTGGTATTACATTTTGTATTATACTCAAAAATTGTCATGACAATAAAAATACATCAGAGTGCATACACGATACAACTAAATTACCATTACATTTTAAATGTCCTTGGTGAGGACTATATCTCTTTGGCAGCAGCAGCTGGTCTAATGGGATTTTAATTGTAAATAAATGGCTTGGATTAGGTGGTTTAGCTAATACATAGCCGACTATAACTGTTAATCAGAGTCATCTTCACTGGAGATTTCAGCAGAATTTAAACTCAAACGTAGTGCCTCTACATCTTTCAGGTTTTTAAATTCACGTTTAAATCCCCTTGTCATACCACGACATGATGTTAAATTAATATTGGTTATTTCATTACATTTATTCAACAAGTCTTTCACTCCTTGTTGTGTTATATTAGTCCCAGCAAGATTCACTGTTTTTAACCAAGAATGTTTGATATTCTCTGTCAATGCTTTTAATGCAAGGAAAATATCATCTTCTTGTAATGGACTCCATGAAAGATCCAACTCTATTAGACTATGACGTATCATATGAAATAACCCTGTCAGGCGATAAAGCTGTGATCCATCTGTTTTAACCCCAGTATTACTAGCATGCAACGCTTGAAGGCGATAAAGATTCAAATCACACAAATCATAACAATCTACGTTATCATTTCCTCGTATATCCAATAATTTTACATTTTCACATTTATTGATCACTCTTGTCACAAAGTCTAAACTAAGGCAAGCTTTTGGTTGTGTATCAGGCCTATTATATGCCACACTGAGCTGTTCCAATTTGGGAAAGCTGCCTAAATTTGCTTGTCTATTCCCTGAAGTTAATGGATTGCCATCTATCCTAGAATTGGCAAATCTCAAAACCTGAATATTAGGACAGGCATCTTGGAATTTTTTCACATTAATTAGCACAATATCTGTAGAAAATACACAATTTGATATGTCAAGTAACTCTAAATTAAGACAGTTGCATAAAATCAGATTGAACATTGCAGTAAAAGCCTTAAAGCCATTACCACCTATATTCAATTGTTTAAGGTGAGGTCCATGTTTAGGTAGTAGTACCTTAAGACTTTGTAATGATACTGCATCATTTGGTGTGAATGATAAATCCAAGCTGTTTAATTGGTAACAGTTTTCAGCAAGGGTTATGATGGACTCTGTATTAATTTTCTTACAATATGATAAATTAACAGCTGAGAGATGATGACAGGAGTCTGTCAATGTCTTCACACTTGCTGTGTTTAAATTATTCCAATATGATAAATTCACATCTTTACACTGTTTTAATTTGTGTTCACATAATTTCTTCAGAGTGTTGTCTGTAGATCTGATCCAACCAAATGACAAATCAACTTTTCTCCATAAGGTTGGATCTGACGCCACTTCTTTCCATAAACTGCAAACTTTTGAAGCTCGAACAAGGAATGGTAAAGCACCTTGCTGCCTGACAATTTCTTTGAATATCTTTAATAGAATTTCTTCTGGTAAATGTAGTCCACAACCACCAGAAATGGCAGAATTAACACTGTGAGTAGAGCCAGGTGATTTACGACTAATTTCTTCAGCTTTCTTCTTTCCTTTGTTCTGTTTTGAATGCTCTTCACTGTCGGTTTTCTTAATTTTTCTTGACGACAATCGTTTATTACGTTTTTTCATCTTACTCTGTTCTTCATCTGATGATGGAATATAATCCGAATCTTCAGAATCTGAACCCCATTCATCTCCTTCTCGGACATTGAACGAAAACAGCGTTTGTCTTTTAGGAACTCCAAGAATCCCTTTTTCGACTTTACGCTTCTTTCCTGTCTTTTTCTCCATTTCAACTGACCAAAATTACAAATATTGTGCCGATGTCATCTAAAATTGGATTTCATAACGCGAGGCAATGTTTTGTTTGTTCGCGCACCTGCTTTTTGACCAAATAAAAGAGATTGGCCGAAACGTCCTATGCCAAGACTATGAAATTTAATGGATTTGTATTGTATCGAAGTGATTCATAGAGCTTGCAAAGGTTAATACATACGTTTACGTCTCAATATTTCACCCTACGACTTACAAATTAGGTCTTGAACGACGATTGGGGCGAAACGTCTTGGCCTAACCGAAAAAGGAAGCGATCGGTCGAATGAGGTTAGCTTAGTTTTTCCAGACGTTGAAGTTTTGAAAAGATTTTAAAATATTGGCAATGTTTCAAACATATTTGATGCTTCTTACTGCACAGATTTCTTCACAATTGAGTAAGCGGATGGAGCAATGTGCTGATTTAACAGAAAACTATTAGGTTATTCATATAATTAGATAAATTTGAACGTTTGTTTACACCTTTCCCTCCTTGTCTTGAATGTCCAGACTCTTCTGTATTTATTACTGCGCATGTGTATAAATTACCTACTTCCTTTTCCAAGAAGTCTCACACCGAAGAAGTGGATCTCAGATATTGGTGATAGAAGAATCTACATTCATCCATCAATATGTATATTTTCCAAGAGATTTCCTCAGGTATTTATGGAATTTAGATATTTTTCTTCCATTCCTTGTTACTGTTTAAAGAGGGTCGGGCTTATACTATTGACCATCCTTCCATGAATTTTTGATGTCGTAATATTATTACCGTTATTTTGTTTTAAAGGGGTGGCATGGGGATAAACATTCCGTGAATCGGTTTGATGACGTGTCAATTTGATTGTTAATTCCATAAAATGCGCATTAAACTCCAATGTTCAAGAATATATGATTTATTGTACGTAAACATGGTTTACCAAAAACGCTTTTATAGGCCTTCAAGACAATTCACCGACTTTTAGGGGTCTTGGTTTGATTTATAGACACTGTGGTTCTTGAACTATATTTCTAATGTACCATATTCATTATGACTATGTTGAATTTCGTTTCTGAAAATTCCCATTAAGTTTCACCTTTTAATAGAGTTATATTGCCATTTATGTAGGCCTATCCAATCATTTTTATTTCCAGTAAGGTAGCACTTTTTGCCGTTCATTTTCTTTATAGAAACATGTAACCTTTCCCAAAGTGCAAAATAAATTCCTATTTTTTGAGGTTTTAAGCTTGGTTCACAAAGACTTAAGTTTTCTCACTGAAAGGGACACTAAATATGTGACTCGGTAAGTGTATCTTGTGTAGCGTTAAAGAAGAGTCTGAGAGTAAATCAGAGGTAGGACTGGTGTTACGGAATTTCAAGCCCTGGTAATGGTGGAAAGTAGCTCTATGTGGGTTGCCCTTTGGGTATTTCAAAGCCCACCATATGGGTCAATCTTTTTTTTTTTGTAATCTTGGGTTAAGAGAGGGGTCTAAGAGTTCATCGGGGTAAGGACTATGATGCGAAATTTTAAACCCTGGGGCAAAGTATCCCTAGGGGTATATTAAAGTCTACCATATGGATCTGCCTGGATTTTATTTAGCAACCAAATATTAGTAAGGTGATCTGTCAGGGTTCTAATATGCCACTGGAGATTGCCCTGAGGGTATATAACAGCCTACCATATTGATCGTTCTGTTTTTTTTTCTTCAGGTGATGATCTTTTCACAGATGCTGCCAAGTATAAAGAAGATGAAGATGGTTTATATTATGAAGTTGAAGCTACTGTGAGAACCCTTTTTTTTTTTGTGTCATATAGAATCAAAGGAATGGTGAACGGGGGTTTCTAGTCTTTGTATGTGTATATGAACACTTGTATGGCTTTCCTTTGTACCAGAAAAAAAATCCAATTCTATTACTTTACCTTTAGTGTGTTTTACTGTCTTTTGTTAAACTTTTACTTTTTATAAAGCTTATTTTAACATACATATATTTCAGTTAAAAACCGAAAGTAATAAATTTGATGACAGATTAATTGGGGCTAATCCTAGTGCAGAAGAACAGGTGGAAGAAGCTGATGATTCTGCTGTTAGTGGACTTGATGTAGTTCTTGAAAATAACCTTGTTTCCACCAGTTACGATAAATCCCAGTTTGGTAAACTCATTAAAAGTTACTTTGCCAAGTATGTATTGGAACATTCTTTTATTTTGTTATATTTGTAGCACTTTTTGCCGTTCGTTTTCTTCATAGAAACACGCAACCTTTCCCAAAGTGCCAAAGTAATTCCTCTTTTGTGAGGTTTTAAGCGTAGTTCACTAGAACTTTGTTTTCTCACAAAAAGGAACAGTTGACAGATACTTAAAATTAATCAGATCCAAGATTGATATGTTCTTGTGGAATTTTAATCGATATTCTTCTGAGAGATTGACATGGAAAGACATCAGGTCAAATGAGACAGCAATGATACCTGGACAGACATATATATATATAATATTTTAATAAACAAGAAGTACATCGTTTTGTCTGTTTAAAGAAGCTGTGTAACCTAAAGTTTTCATACTTGATAGATAAATTGAAAACTGTATTAATGTTTATGATAATTTTTCAGGGCATTAGAATCGAAAAAAGATGCCGAAAATCTCCCTGAAATTAAAAAACGATGTGAAAAAGTAAGCAAAGAATGGTATGGTAAATACAAGGAAATGGAATTCTTCGTCAGTAAGTATTAAAGAATGATATGTTTGAACTAAAAATAGAATATATATATATATAGGACGATATTCTCAAAGCTAGATTGTCTCCCTTATCATGAATATAAATTGTTAATTACTAGAGCAAATATATTTTGAGCAGTTAAGATTATAAGCTTAAAGTGATACTGCCTCTTAGAATGTGCATAACATTTAAATTCAACCAATTATCATTAGATTTACCTTGTTTGGTATACAACACAATCCCTGTATAATATGATAATTCCATAAAACAACAAAATGTAAGCTTTGTATTCATTCGAAGAGGTACTATTCCTGTAACACCCTGCTCTATTTATTGTGAACAGTACATGGATTTAAAGCAAAGTTGGATTCTTTACTCTTAATCCACATCATATTCTGCAAACCTGACAGATAGGTTGACTGGTGCATTTTTACCCTTGAGGGCTGATGATGCCCTTTCACATGCAAAAGCAGAATAGATTATCTAATAGCTGTATGGCCCTTTACAGGTAAAAATTTTGGTGACCTAACAGCTTTCTCTTGGTATACTGGTGATCGTGAAGCTAAAATGATTTTCTTCAAATTTGGAGTAAAGAAGATTAAATGTGTAAGTAGATCTTGGAACAAAGTGATGGTTTTGCTCCTTAAGTTTTGGCTGGTTAAGCTTATTTAATATTTTACCAGCTTTGTCTCAGGAAGATGCTTGTCAGTGGTTCAATCCTGGCATTGGTCAATTTCAGCTATAACAAACTTTTTCTTGTATCACCGATTTGCAGTAATTTGATGGGATATTATGCCAACGAATACAGGCCAGTCAGAGTTCTTAAAAGAAAGACTAAACATTTTTCCTTATTATCTATTACAATGTTGGTAATAGATTGACATTGTGAAGATGTCAGGATGATACCTCAATTATTTCAACAATTATTGAGCACTTATTGCCGTTCATTTTCTGCTTATAGAAATATGTAACCTTTCCCAAAGTGCAATAAAATTCTATTTTTGTGATTGTTCTATAGATCATTTACAAGAGTAGATACAATCAGACCATACTTACTCTTTTCAAAATACCTGATGGTACTTCTTTTTGAAGGAGTCAACTACTATACACATTTTTATTTCAAGATGCAAGTGTTATTTGAAAAAGCTTTAATTATAATCTGCCATTAATTTTATCTTTTCAGTAAAGAAATATTGGTATGGGTAGAAATTTTAAAATCCAAAGGGTTCCATCATATTTTAGAACATAAATATTACGAAAGGCTCATCAACACCATATAATGACCAGGGTTTACAGAAATCATTTGGAGCTCTTCACCATCTGTTGATTCATCTTCTATTGGCATCAGTGAATAGGACTTCTTATCTTACATCAACCAACCTTGTCAATGATTTTAGAGCTGTTATATATATTTTGATATAGGTCACCGTTTGATATATAATATCTGAATTTAGACCCTGGTGAAATTTTTTGCTTGCAATATTTTTATTTGGCTTTTGTATTCCCCCTTTTTCCTGGACAAAAAAACGACTGCTGAATTTTAAAGAGTGATCTATTGCCATTGAAGGTTGGTTATGTATAAAATATGTAATATAAAAGTTGATAAATTATTATCAATACTTAACAAATTTTTAGCTCTTTATGTCAAACAACACTACGCAAAATAAATTATTAAGTTAAAATTGTTATTTTTTATCCGATTCATGCTGTGAACATCCATTACCTCGAATCCCCTATCCTTGCATGCTTTCCCTGCCATGGAAATATGTCCTGTTTGAATGGGATAATAAACAAGAAAGGCTGAATGAGGTCAAGCTCAAACTACATTCCCATTGCATAGGTTTTCCACACAAAAGGAAAAATGCGTCCAGCCGCGAATAGGTTTCCGGTGCGATGCTAATTAGGTTTCCGGTGCGATGCGGGATTAGCGATACAGTAGAAAATAGTTGAAAGCGAATCATGTCCGGACCCGTACGTCGTGTGCTCACTAGTTCTATTTTCTACTAAATCGATCATCCGGCACCGCACACAGTCTATTCCCACACTACCATTTCTATTTTCCATATGTGTAGGTGTAGTCTTAATCCCCGTCGTATCATGTTGTAATAAGTTTTATTCTATTATGTACAGTAGGAGAAGAAAACATTCAAAATTTGCTACAAACAACTGTTTTGAAAAAAAAAAGACACAACACTTAAGTTTCACAACGCAGGACTTGTGTCCGTGGAACGATATCCTATTAGTTTATTGTGGACTGGAATGTTATTAAATAGAGTTATCTCCCTTGTCTCATTCAATGCTGTAGCTTTTGATTATTCTACGACACTATCAATGTTCCATAAATTTGCGCTCTGCAAAGCGCTTTAAATTCAGCGTCAACTGTCGAACCCTAAGCCAGTCATCTAAATACACCATGCTCGATTGAATCCTTGACTTAACAAGTCTTGAATTTTCTGGTAAAAACAGTTAGCACAACCAGGTACAGAACATGGAATAAGTTCCGTGGTCTGTTTATACAACAATGTACAAGTTGAAGTTTTGCATGATGTTTGATATCCACAATTCCTGTTACAGTCAATGTGTATGATGGTGCGGTGATTGATGTCGACGGTGTCGTTTGACTTCATATTGAAACGGTATTTCCACATCGCCCATTTTCTGTTTATAAACTGCATCAAAATCTTCATTCTGTGAAACCGAAAACTGGTTCTTCCAATCACCCGCAATACCTTAAAAAAAAATCAACGTGTTGTCCAAAGTTTGGATAGTTGAGATCAAATCCGACTGTCGGCTTCAACCGCTGTGAAAATATCAATAGATGTTTATATGCCATTTGTACGGGGCCCTACAGAAGTGAGGTTGTCTCTTGCCCCGACCCCCCTTTCAATCGCTTTACGATCATTGCACCATTCCAATTTTCAGTTCCACTAAAACTAAAGCGATACTGACATCATAAAATGCGTAGTTTTGGTACAATATTGCAAGAACCACAGACTTCTGACTGGAAATTGGATCGAAACTCTCAGAATCCCCGATACATAATGAAAACATTCTATAATACAGTTCTACAATAAAAAACCGAAGTTTTACCTTTTCTTAAAAAGGGGGAGACTTGTTTGTTGATGGAATAGACATCTTCGTGGTTAGTCATTGGATTTTTTCTCATACTGGAAAATGAACAATGAGTGGCAATTTTCTCTAAAAGTTCATCAGATAAATCATTTTTTCCTACGAAATCTGCAATCTTTCTTATTTCTCCCTTTAGATCCTGAAAAGACAATATTGTTTATAGTTTAAATAAAATTAAACGTTCTATCAAAATATAACGTAAGAAACCCTACGGCGTCGCCTTTTCTGTACCATTTCTATACTTTCCAGCAACACTGAGAAAAACACTCACACTTGGTAAAGTGAACCCCCCCCCCCTCCACATAATGATTTATTTTATACAAACGCCACTGGTTTTTATCTCAGTTGTCTCTTACCTTTTTAAGATCTTCATAAAATACAATATATACATTAGGTTCAGTCCGTCTTTCCCACCAACTTAATGTGAAATCAAACCACGAGCCATGGTCCACTGAAAGAAAAAGTCTTTCCTCTTGAATACACCTCTCTAGGAATCCATTCGTCTAGACAATTGCTTCTGACAGGGGCGAAGGCATGGAGGAGAGCACTAGGGAATACATCACTTCTGTTAACCTGTACAGCGGAAAATATTTATTCCGAATGTCATACATAGGATCAATGAGTCGTGATGGTTACCTTTCTGAATGTATAGTAGATAAATTATATAGTTAAATTATAGGGTATGAGCCATACATGTCATATACGTGTGAAGCTCGATAAATCTGACCCTACACGTCCCTCGGACGGGATGTAATATCGTCACGGTTAGTACCAAAATTGTCGGGCACGTAATGGTACTGTTACAGTAGGCAGATAGCTTAATCATTAAGACAGCTTTTAATGGGATAGGTGCGCCATTTTGAAGGTTTGATTTGACATATACAAATAGTCTTCAGAAGTATAATTCCTTCAAAAGTATCTCAAACTAAGAATTTATTTTCGCACTTCTATGAATATATTTTGTATATTTGGTAGTGTCTCAAGAAAAGACGACTCGTCTTTTTAACTTTCAAACGTTGATATTTCTGGACACACATAGACTTGATGGCTCAAATTTTGACGGTGAGCTGTGAACACTATTACTGATTGGCTTAGATAAAAAAAGAAGTCCCCGTTTCCGAGACTAAGGTACGATTAGTCAAACAATGGCACATCTGTCCTTTAAATTATATAGGGACACGATAGGGTGTTAGATCAACATGAACTCGAACTTACCCCGACCAGTGAGAAACATGATTAAAAAATCTCGCCAAGTTCCAGTAAATTCACCAAAGGAAGAACTAGCTTTATAAAAATTGTAATAAGAAACACAAACATCTTTGGGATTCCTAAACACAACCACGAACTGTAAAGAGAGTAAATATAGTCTAGTCTATTTTTGAAGTTGCTTAATACATAAACGTTTTGTGGCATTTATCACGATTTTGTAATCTATTTAGTAAAGTAATGGAACCTCAATGGGCATTATCTCAGAGAGATGGAGTGATATATAGGTCTCTATCTATCTCAACTTTAAAACGTAATGCCTATAAGTTACCTTGTACAACAGACAAATTAAAGTTGGGTTCCAGAAAATCCAGTTAAAAAAACAGTAATGCAAAACTTGCAAATTTTTTAAATTGAAATTAAACGTTCAGATCGTTTACGATTGAAAAGAAATTAAAAGACATCAAATCAGATTTTAAATCAATTTTTTATGAATTTAAGCTGACCCTTAACATTGTAGAATAACCATGTTTCTGTATGATTTCTCCATTGCTAACTGGTCTGAAGAGTGGTATCATAGGATTGTTTCATTTCACGTTCTGTGTAAAACACATTGGACAGAAAATTACCTTTGCTTTTGACGATTGTTTTGGCATCATGCGGAAGGGAAGATGTGATTTGATGACCCTTGGTGACCTCATGGCAATAGCAAGGTCAATCCCAACTTCATTCAAAACTAAATCTTTAAATTCTAAAAATGGCGACCGGAAGTAGACAGGCGTTTTAGTGGCACCATCAAAATCTCCATCATTCATCACTAACCACAAGATTTCCTGTAACCATGTTGTTCCTGAAAAAATACAGTTCAACTGTAGTTAGTAATAATTACTAATTGAAATTATTCGGAACTAAATATTAGAGGAGTAGGACTTCATCTATAACTCCCTTTAAGACGTGTAAGAAACGAAATCATTGACATTATGAAGATGCGTAAGATTGTTTTCAATGTAAACTTCTCACCATGGTCTAATCTAGCCAATCTCCACTTATTCCAAGTTTAATTCGGACTAATCCGGGTAATAGTGAAAGTCTTTCTTCAAGAGACCCATCAAACGGAATCATAGTGGGCATAATCAAAGTTATAATTGTATGCCTAATTCGGAAGCTTTCCGGAGATTATATCGACCAATGAAATTAGTTGACTAGAAATTAACAGGAAATTGGAAATTAATCGCTTTGAAAATAAATGTAAATTAAAAGCCAATATAATCTATTATAGTAATTCATTTGCAAGTGATTTCCCGACTATAAATTTCCATACTGTGATTATTTGTTCTATAGATGAATAATTGAATCCTAAATGAGATTCATGACTTTTTCTTCTTGATTACAGTTTTCTTTGTTCTGTGCTCTTCCATATCATTTTATTTCAGTCGAAGGTTCTTCCGATGATATTTGATGGATAGATCTTAGAAGATGGCTGTTTAAGAATGATAATGATCATGTTTTTAGTCTCCAAGTAATCAAAGGCTGTTAAATGATTTGTATCTGCATCAGAATGGTTTATTACACGGATATACATGAATTGTCAAGATAAAAAAAAGCTCTGTAATTGGTGCAGGGGCGGACTGAGTAGCTTTGAGTCCTTCGACAGATGGGTTTCTGGACCCCCACCGTACCTAAATTTTACCTTCCGGTTTAGTTATTCGACCAGCAATGAATAACACTTTCATGTCATTGAAGGAGAGTGTTCTAAATATTCTGACAGCAATTCATCCCATTCTATTGCACGTTCCAACTATATTGTAGCGTTAATACAATCTAAATGCTCTCAGGAAACACTTAGATCTTCATTTTAACCACATTGGTCGAACAAAACCCACTGAAACTAAATTCATGTCTTAGATTGGTGTGCTCTATCTTTATAAATGATTTTCCGAGTCTTAGAATGATAAGCTCTATCCTTAAAAATGGTTTTTATGTTGAACTAGACAAGAACGTGAACACGTTTCCGGAATTCCACAGATCGATAAATGTATTAAAGTAGAAATTGATGAGACCTGCCAATTACAGATTGCTAGCTACTCTAACCTACCAACCAATATATTTAAAGAGACAGTGAGGAGGTTTTAAACGTCTTGTGTGTATCGGAGAATCGTGGATTTCGGGGGAATCGAGGATATCGAAAGCATCGTTTTGCAACATTCCAATTTTCAATCAGATGTCTGTGGTTGATGCTATTCTACAAATATTATATATTATAACCTAAAGAACTTAGTGACAGTCATAAACCTCATAAAGTTTATTGCAATTGCAAGAATCTTAGAACTCTAATTTAAAAATTGAAATGGTGCAAATCATGATGCTAACAGAGTCCTCGATAGACTTAAATAATTTAGAAAACCTCTTTATAATCCCTTTAATGACAGTCTTTCTCACATTCTCTTCTGTTTTATTAATAATTTAATGTCTGTCTTCTTGAGAAATTAGCATACACTGTATACAGTTATTTGTCTTTTCAAGTGATAAATCCGTTGAATATTTATAAGAAACTAGACTCTTATTGAGTAAAATCTGATGACATTGATAAGATTCTAGATAAACACATGTCACCCAGCTATTCCAAAAGGGGTACGATTACATGGTTACTTTGAACAGATGGCGACGAATAAGATTCCATTTTGTTTGTAAATCTGTTTTTTTTTTTGAAGAGGTTGCGTTATAGATGTTTTATTACCATCGTACGAGCTTTAAAGAATCCAAATGCTCTCGCGCGAGAATATTAGCTGCAACCTTACAAGAATATGTTCGCATTGTCATTGACGTGTAATAATCACCAAGATGGTATAGTCAAAACCAGGATGATGTCCTATATATTCAATAACTAGGGCATTCCCAATGCAACTCTTGTAACTTGGATACCATCATGCTCTATAAGAAACAAGCTTTTTGTGAAAAAGAGTTGCGGGGGTAGCATATCCTCATAGGACTCGCACTTTTGGTTCTTTACTTTTTAAAAAAATTTATCATCTGTACATCTGAAAATAGCCCGTAAGCCCTCTGAGGCCCCCATTCGGCCTTCTCACCTAATGATACATGGAACCTATAATATACTGTCCAATATCACAATGTAATTGACCTTGCTGAAATAACTCGAGGTGGTATTGTTTTTAATTATTGCTGAATTGTTAATTCATTTCCACATTGCAATCATATCTGTAGAAAACAATATTCATTTCATTTCCTAATATTTTTTCCATGCCAACAGATAATATCGATATTTGTGTATTGTTTAAAGATGGCATAGAGTCATTTTTTACATCTGTTTTGGCAAACATTTCGGGTCCTTTTTTCGAAAACCTTTAAAATACGAATACATTTACTCAACTCTAAAACATCAAATAATCTTACAGGATTCTTACTTTTCTACATTTTCTCACTGAAGTCAATATTTTCAAGTGCAAGATTTCAAACGATTGATATCCATTTTGTAAGTGAGCTTGTTTAGTCAATAGTTCTGTTTATACAAGTTTCAAGTTGAAATGAAAAACGTATTATGATCGTCGAATTAGAACGAAAAAATAATTGATAGTGATGTAGTGAAATAGTGTTTAATATTATTACAGATAACCTTTTTATCAATATTCAACCTGCATGGTTTGATGAGATGTCAATGAAGATCGATTTCAAGGATGAGTTGTTTCTAAAATGTCACTGGGAAGTAGAAATAAGACATTTCCCTTGACGGTTTTTAGATTGACGATTAAATATAGGAATAATACAATGTGTTCTTAAGGGAACAGCAATGGAATCCCCAATTGCTTTCCAGATCACTGTTCTTATTTCAGGAATGGCTGAATTAAGTGGTCAATGACTATGGTCATCCTTTCCTGTACTGTACCTTAAAATCAGCCCCTTGCATTCAGTAGTCCAAGACTTTGAAACCACGAGAGTCCATAATGTTAAGATCAGAGGAGGATTAACCAATAGTCAAACTAGGCAGCTGCCTTTCGGCCACTGACAAATTTTGTAACATTAAAAATGATTAAACAGTTAATAAATTTCCGCAGGCCCGTCGAAAATGGTCCTACTAGGAGCGCGAGAATCGACTAAATTGTTTGAGCCTAATGGTGTTGAATGCCGATATCGTGCAAACGTTTGATGCTGATGAGCATAGCAAACTTCCTGCCATAAAATTGTAATCAGACCATGCCCCCTCCCTAAAATGAGAAATTAGGCCCTTTACCTTTCGTTTGCCTACGGCCCAACAAGTCCAAAATCCGCTGGTTAAGATGCTTTCAGCAACTAGGTCGTTATAGAGGAAGCAACTACTGAACTTTTGAAACAACGACCTAACTTTAGAAGTGTATTTATTCGGTTCTTCCCCTTCTTCTTTGATTCAGATTCGATAAAGATTACAACCAAATTTACAAAATACATTAGTTGTACATTAAAAAAACTGAATGTTAAAATGATAACCTAGTAACCGCGTATGGACTAGTTTTGATCCTACCTTAACCCAATTTCTCCTACTCACGCAATATATTAAAATCCAACTTGACTTACCTGCTTTAGGATAGCTAACAACAAACACATCATCATCTCTTACTTTAAATTCTTTAACAGCATCAAGAACATCAGGAGGACTGTATCCAAAAAACAGAACGCCGTCATAAACATGTTCACCTGGCAGGACATGACGGTAACCATGGTCTTGCACGTGTTTGCCAGGAACCAATTCCACAGTGTCGGCCATTTTATGATCTAATGGCTAAGTGAGAAATGTGTAATAAGTTAGTTATACACTGGAATCTCGCCGTATTGATTAATAATTATTCCCTTATATTGATAGGTCCAGTCATTCATATAGAAAACGGCCTCTCATTCTCTCTCATTCTACTCTTACTGTCAATATCAGCTCTCTTCTACCTTTTTATCCCTTCAAATAATGGATTTTCTGCTCGTCGCTTACTTTTCCATTTTCTAAAGACCAGTTATAAATGGTTTCTTTTGTTCTCTCATTTTCTGTTCAGATTTATTGGCTCTGTCGTTAATTGAAATTGTTTTTTTCCTGGCCGGTTTGTCTTATAACGAGAAGTGTCGTTATCACCAGCATTGTTCTAGCAATTAACATACTCACGATAACTGTTTCTTAGTTATAATATATCATGACAGGCACACAAATTGAAATTCCCTTCCAGAAATCAGGTTTTAATCATTTTTGGGAGTATTGGTCAAAATGTTTTAAAATCTAGGCAAGACCAATATACTGTGCAGTTGCGTGCTGGCTCCAAATTGGCTGGAGTTGCAGAGATCGTTTTGGTATCCCTTAAACAACTGCGCCTTTTGTACAATCCGATATAAATAAAACAGTTAAACACATAATGCAAAACTCGAAAAGAACTTTTAACTTAATACTTATGGTAGCTAATATAAATTAATTTTTAATAAGAGCATAGAATCGGAATATCGCTCAGTTCAGTGTTTTGAATAAGTGCTTTTGACAATTTTAGCTCCGTCACACCGGAACGGCGTTTCTAATTTTACGGGACTTTTTCTACCGGGTTGAACTTAGCAACACGTTGTACTTTAACTATCGTTCTTCACCTTTGACGGCGACCAAGCCAGTGTAACGTGGTTATTATCGAGGCTCTTGCCCGAAATGTGTGAATTAGTTCATGGTAGTGACCAGCAAATCTGCCGCTCATCAGCAGCAGTCCCTCTGATCGGTCTTGGGTGGTAGATAAACCAAGTACTAACGAAGCATTCCCTGTCTGGTGCCACACCCGTCATGTCTGCATAGATTCGAGAATTTACTCGTTTCAGGACATAAATGGTGTGAAATAAGAGCTTCCTGGTAACATTGACATACGCGTCTGTGTTTTGAGGGTCTATCGATTTCAATACTTTCAACTTCATCTGCATCAAGATGTTGGCCAATTGGCCAATTGACAAACTTTTGCTTTATCTTTGGTAATACTCCTGCAAAACTTAAAAGTTCTGCTACGCAGCGTACCAAAATCAAAAGTCGTTATTCGGACAAAAAGCTTCAAATAAGTGGAACGCTGCTGTGCCAATTGCGGACTTTTGCTGACAAACGTTAAAAAAACTTTGAAAACTTGGGCGCCCCTTGATTTTCCATCGCTGGTGGGGCAACTATAAAAAGCATAGTCATTCAGTTTTGCTGAACTACACTAGTTCGGGATTCGGAACATGGTAAAAAATAATGAAACAGTCTAATTAAAATTAGACCAAACTTTCGATTCGTTATTTTTATGAGCTTCTAATTTGACCAAAACTTCAGTTAGGGTCTTGTTAGTCAGAAATCCTAAAGGAAAAAAGAAAAATTTAATGATATCGTAAAATGCAAAAAAAACTATCATTGAAGAATTTTTAGTAGTCTGAGTCTATTTTTCAATGTGTTACGAAACGTCTCGCTCAATCATACCCGTCGTATTGGGCCATTGAATGAAAACGAATTCTCTAAATCAAGAAAATGTGTCGGTAAAGTTGCCTGTGAGCCTGTGAGGTGAGATTTTGTCAAACTATTACATTATTTTATCATATCTGAACTATCATTAATTAAAGGGTCATTCCGCTTTGTAAAACGTTTTCATTATCAAAAACGTCGTAAATTTTACCTGAAAATTATTTCTAAAGTAAAGTATGCTATTTATATCTATGTATCTGCTTGATCAAACTGAATTTGTTTTAAAACTGAGAGTACTAATTGTTAATTAAGTAGTTTGACCTAGTTTCGGTGATTGGCTTTTAAAATGAAATGAAATGAATGGAGTTTTACGTCCTACTTTTCTGCGCCATGTGGGTTAATGAAGACAGATTGGCCTTATAAATATAATGGCTCGTTCTATTTAGTTGAAATCTTTAGAAAACGTAGGAGACATATTTTCAAGCAAAAAAAATTTTTTCGACCTACAAAAAAAGCGGAATGTCCCTTTAACTGATTAAATTTATTTATGATCAAGCCCTGTGTCTGTCAGAAATTTGGGTCCTTTTCATTAGATTTCAAGAGATATTTCTGAAATGGATTGATTAGGGAATGAGAATATTTTGCTTTGAATATTTCTAATATGAGAGTGAAAATTCATTTATGTTGATTCTCTGACATGGCACAGGTTCTGAAATGATTTTTTACTGTCTAGTGGCAATGTCATTTTACATGTTTCTGATACTACTGGATGGTGAATGTCCCTGTAAGTTTAAACAAAGTCCTAACAGTCGATTTTATGAGTCCATCTAGATCCCCTTTTCTCCCCAGTTTTGCTGTAATTACCAAGAGGTAAGACCTGTTATGATACAGTGTCAATGCTATCCATCAGCATCACATTACAAAATTTCTCTTTTAAGGGGAGATAAGTCATCTTCTAGAATGTTCATTAAACGATACATTTTCATTATTATGTAAACATCTTCAATTATTCTAACACACCTCAGATCTGTTTGTCACACAAATACCTAATATAGAAATATAGTCTATATGATACCACCCTATGATTTAGTAAAGTAACCTGACTAGCAAGTTATTGCACTCACAAATCCCTCTTCATTGGTAAACCAGTTTGTAGATTAAAGAGAGATTGTTACTATAACTAGTCAAACTAGATTGTAGGCTAGGTTTCTCTCAAAAACAAATACTGTATATGGTATAAAAATGAAAAAGTAAATATATTTTTAGTCACAAAATCTTGTTATAAAAGTCTGGATAGGAAAGAAAGTAGTCATTTGCGCTAGTTGAATTTGAGAAGACAGATTATATATTATAAGCTTATTATTAAGATGGCTTTAATGCGTCAGATACCATTATCATGGGAAAGTCCAGTATGGAATCGTTGGGATATGGAGGTATTTGATCCACAAAGACAACTACGGTCTTTAGATAATGAAATGAGACATATGAAGAGTAATGTTAGTCGAATGTATGATCATGTTCAGAATTTCTCACCAGCACCAACAATGTCTGTTGATCACCATCCAGCTAACTGGAGACTGAGAGAGAATTTCCACCTGGATAATCCAATCACCCAGGATCATGAAGGAAGAAAGTTTCGACTCCAGTTTGATGTACGTCAATTTAAACCTGAAGAAATTATGGTGAAAACAGAAGGTCAGAAGTTAGAGATACATGCTAAGCATGAAGAAAAGGGAGATAACAAGTCAGTGTACAGTGAATATCATCGACAATATTTGCTACCCAATGAGCTGAAAACTGATCGTTTGGTGTCGAAACTCAGTCGAGATGGTGTGTTATCTATTGAAGCTCCTCTACCTATTAATGATGAACCAAGAGATAGACTTATTCCAATCATGCATAATTGAAGTGTTGGATCAAAAAAAAGATAACTCGACAAATCTGTGCTGATCTCCTACCATTTTCTTAGATATTGCTGTTCTTGTTGTTCTGACTGAGTCTCTACTGAACTGTTCCTAGAATTACATACATACTGTGACTGTTTATCAGGAATAACTTCTAAACATTTTATGAATATGTATTTTATATTTAGTAAAACATTTTACAATAAATCTTACTTAGGGTACATGTGCTATGTATCACATCATAAGTTTAGAAATAAGCAAAACTATTTTCTGATTTGAAATTTTGTTAATTACATTTATCTCTACAGTTGTCATGAAGTTAATTCTGGAGTGGAAACCTCTCTTGTTTTATTTCATCTGCTATGTGCCCTATACATTTAGTGAATGGATTATATCTATTTAAGGCGCTAACTCGTTGAATAATTTGTTTGGTTTAGAACCATTTTACAATGACAATGTTTACATAAATTAGATGTGCATACTTAAAAACTATCAGTAGAATCTAGATGTGTTATACCATTATGTTTAATATATAAAATACAAGTCATTTGGTGAATATGAAATAGACACTTACACTGTTTGAAGTTGCCTGTCAGATCTTTCTGATTTCTTTGTTAAAAAAATATGGATATATCTGTTAGAAATGTATTTTTGATTTATAATTTTCTGTAAATTGATAAAACTTTAGTAGCATTTATAATTTCTGCATTATTTATTGGATCTGTGAAATCCATTGTACAGAAAATACATTTATAACAGTCTTTTTTAACCTCTTGTGTTATAGGGAGATTTTTAAGTTTCTTTATGATATTTGAAAATTTTTATATAAAGAACATTGTTTTATTTTATGTGTTTTTGTTTCTTTTTTCACTGTCTAATGCTAGAAGAATTTTCTGTCTAAATGTGGCATTTGACAACACTATCCCCAAAGAATGATTTCATTCATTTCAAAGTTGATATCATTAATGGTGCTGAGAAATGATGCTGGCATGGCTTTGTGGTATTTAGTTACATGTTTAACTGTCCATCTCACACCAGGTGACAATTCTGTGGCCCCTCTTCAATCCCTTTGAATAATAGGATAATAACTTACAGAAATTCTTTTGATCTTTTGATCTGTTGAAATCAAGAACACACTGTCAAAATCTCAATACAGTTAGGATAAGAATTCTGAGGGCTGGGGCGTTTTTGGGCCTGAAATGGGGTCCCCATAACCATGTAAAGACATTAACTGCGCTCATTAAATCATAGAACTGTAATAAAGTTCTATGATAAAATCTAAGCCCTGACGTATGGGTAGATATATATTTGCTACTGATGAACATAGCCTAGGCCTTAAGGTACAGATCCAAACATCCGTCTTCTAATTTCTACCAATCCAACACTGTACACTGTCTATTTCCACCTTTAAAGTAATGTATACAACTCTCAGGAATTATTTTCAAGAACTAAATTGAAAAGAGTCTATGATCTGTTGTGAATTCCACATAATTGTTTTAAGACATTTAGTGTGAACGTAGCTTGAGTGTCTTTTTTCTATTACATAAAACCCATCCATTCATTCTTTCAAACCTATAGTATGTAAATACTGGGTATCTATTTTAGATTAGTGGTCTGTAGTAAGATGGAAGTAGATGAGATTATACCAGTACCTGATGATCCCTACCCAGAACCTGATGATTGTAGATTATGGATTGGTAATATAGATCTGAAAATAACAGAGTAAGTACTGTAGCCTATTCTACTAGTCAGGGAGTATCAAGGGGAGGGTCTTAGTCTTAAAACATTGTCCACAAGAAACCTTATAACAATCTCACTGTTCATTCTTAAAGGGGCAGATACACCATTTTTTTGAGCAATAATACTTTAGTCTGAGAAACAGGAATTTTTTAGCTAAGCCAATCTGTAAGAGTCTTCACAGAATTATCCACATTTGTATATTAAAATGACGACTCGTCATTTTAAGATACATGTACTGTGTGATATATAGAAAAGACATATATAGAAATAGTTTATAGTATTTTGTAAAGGAATTATGCAATTTTCGTACATTCCTAGTACTTCTGAAGACTATTAACATATATTTAAGACTAAACCCCCAAAATGCTGCATCTGTCCCTTTAACGATTGGTCAGAATGGCATGCCCTTTGTTTTAGTAATACCATGACTCTTCTAATTTTTGGTTGACAGCCTCGATTATTATCACTAATAATTACGTAAACATTTTTCATATTATTTTTGTGAAATGTTACACGTAATTTGTTGTTATAAATAACTTGATGAAATGTTTGACAGAAGTAAAACAGGTTTTGTTTTAAAATGGTCAGGTATATACAGTATGTTATTTTTATTATTTGAGGTTAAATACTGATATTTATAACAGTTCTATTTATTATTATAATAATAATTTAATGAGATGTTGGTTTTCCTGTTACAGATATATCAAAATAAAAATCGTATTTATAAATGTAAGACATAAAAGGAATTTATCTTTCAAAAAAAAGACAACACAATTTACACCAATCACATATTTTCTCTGTGAAAAGTGTTACTGATAGTTCTTAGACTGGATATAGATTACCAAATTTTATAATTTCAGGTACACAATATTAAAATTACTACAGAAATATGGTGGATTAAAAAGATTTGATTTTATTTACCACAAATCAGGACCAGATAAAGGCAAATCAAGAGGCTACTGTTTCTGTAGTTATAGTAATAAAGAGGTAATACTCTACAAAATCACTGATATTTATGGATTGCTCTAAGAAACTGTAGCACAGTCAGAAAAGGTCATTAAAATTTTACATGACATCATTTGTGTGGTTTTGTTGAACAAATGGTGGTCGTGAATTATAATTTCAGTAAGTTTGTGAAAGTCTGGTGACCTTGAATAAGTCATCTTTCCTCATTATTCTACTCAACCCAACTGTAAATGGGTATGCATAATCCGGGAAAGATTAATGCCAAAAGGTTTGGTCAAGGACCATCTAGCAACGATCCTCGTGAACCTAAGTTATCCTAGTAAAAACTTTTGATTTCTTATATTCTAGGAAGCGGCAATGGCTATGAAGAAGATCCATGGTAAATTTGCTATGTCCAAAAAACTGATTGTTAAATGGGCACATGCTGATCCTGTAAGTTCTGTATACTGTATATTTGCGAGTATAATGCGTAGTATTTTACCTTAAAAAGGAAATACAAAACTGGGGATTAATATAGACAGAGAAAAACTTTTTTGAATTTCTCACCTGGGGTTCCTAGTCAATATTGAAGGTCCACCATTTGGTTTTATAATCCTAACTATGATTTTATGTTGATTGAAGTAAAGAAAAAAAAGGACAATGTCACATGTTATGTTGAAGAAATTTCTTGTCTAATTTCACCTTTTATTAAGACTTCAGATGTGACCAAATGAATTATAGATTATGTCCTATGTAGAAATTTATTACAGTACTGTTGTTTTTGTATATAATTTATAGGTGAATGAAGTAAGGAAATCTCAGAATAGTAAATCAAAAGATGTTGTTGAAACATCAGATACAAGGTTAGTTTGTTAAATACATCTTAGTAATATAATATCAACTTTAAACTGGCAGGTGTTATTATAAAATAAATATGATCAAAACAGAACTTCAGTTTTGTTATGGCACCAGTTGTCTTAAACACTGTTATATACAGTGGAATAATTGCAAGTTCAAGGGGCTTTTGTCATTGTGAAAAATTGGCACAGTGCTGTTTTCATAATGAGTTTATGCCTGTCTACCAGTTATTATTTAATTTCCACTCCAGGAAGTACATCTATCATTTAATCTTTTCAGTATTAATTCCAAGATCAAAGAAATAGAAGCCAAGCTGCTTGTAATGGAGAAAACCAAAAAAGACTTTTCTACCTCGCCTAATCTAGAGGCTATACCTGGATCTAGTCCACTTAGTGCAATAAATATGACAAAAAGTAAAACATCTCAAAACTCTCAACCTTACACCAAATCTCACAAATATTCCTCATCTAAAAGTTGATAACTCTAGATTTTAATTGTGATAACATTCTGACCACAGTAAACTACCATTGTTTCTAATATTAGTTCTCTGTACCTGAGAGCATCCATATTGGGTATGTAATGTTGGACTGTGATGCAATAATGCTACATATAGATTGTGTTCAATACCACTGAAGGCATCTGATGAAGACTTGAAAACAGTCTGACTACAGTAAACTGCCATGGTCTCAAAATAGTTCTCTGTAGCTATGAGCAGCCATATTGGATATTACTCATCAATGGTAGTGTCATGCACAGCTAGAGCAAATTACTGAAAACAGCAGAATAAAGTATGTCAAAAGTTGCCAAGTATCTGGAGATCTGTCATCAGAAAGTTTGATTTTCTCTCCAAATTGGACGCTGAATTCTGATTGGTTCATGAATTGTCTCTGCCATAAAATCAACCAATCAGACACACCTCAGATCTGTTGATTTATGATTTATCCTTGTCTGATACAAACCAAGTGTGGAATGAATGTAAACAGAGACAATAATTCATCATATAGCTTTATTTTTATTGATTACATTCTAAAAATTCATAGTTAAATATAATGGAAACTGATCAATATCTAAGTATTGCATGAATTTGTTATGTTTCTATAATGTAATACGCTAGAAATATCACTTATGGTCTAGCAAAGATATACAGTAGTCAAGCACAGGGTGTTTTATGGCTCATTCGGCCTCATTAAATACATGAGTATTGAGCTGTTTTTTTTTTTTTTATAAACAATATTTTATTAATACATTAAAGGGATTGGGGAACCTGCTTATGCCTATATAACCCCTCTCCATGACAAATTTCAAAGTTAATATAACTTATAAGAAAAGTAAATAAATATATATGTAAACTCAAACGTATGAACAATCATTTCAAAAACATCTATGGAAAAAGTGAGGCTGCTTTAAAAGGGAAAAATGATAATAATAATAATAATAATAATATCGATCATACTTAGTAAAAATAATTTAGAAATAATAACTTAAAACTTAACATTGAGCTGTTCAATGGGGAAAAATTAAAAGAAACTTTGCAGACTAAAGTAACATTGTGTTGATTACCTGGATGAGAAAAAGTACTTTTGCTTGGCTAGATTTGTGCACATCTGGGTACAATTTCAAATAAAAAAACCCACTTGCTGTCTACTTAATTATTAGGTAGGATAAATAGTTATCAACACAATATAAATATGGTTTATATAGTACTAATTACTACTTATTCTACCTCATTCAAAATGGACTGCTCTTGTTAATCAGATGTACAGAAATATCTGTGCTGGACTATGATAGGTAGATATGTATTGTTTTTGTTGTAAAATTATTTTAATCTCAATTGTTTTAAAAAATAAAAATATCAAAATCTTGTGTGTGTTAACTTCCTTGCTAAATATCCGTCATATCTTAAACTTTGACTTATTACAGATGATAGCTTAATAATTCAGTGTATTTGATACTGTTTGTGCGACATTTCACCCTGTCAGTGATGTAGGTAAGAAGGGCTGACATAGAAAAAGGGTATAGGCCAAGACTTTCTAGGACAATATACCGAGGCCCAGTGTTCTACAGGCTGTACACATTAAAGATCCTTCGGCATAACATAAAAATCATAAATTGCTTAAATCCATATATTATTCAAATTTAAAGAAATAAATCCATCTAGGCTAGTTAAATTTGGTTTTAACCTAGATAATAAAGGATAACTAGAAAAATTCTAAAAAAAAACAGGAAACCTTCCATGATATATTACGGTAAGGTACACCTTGAAAGTGGAAAAGTATGCAGGACGGTAGGGGATACTTATATCATAAATTTCACTCCTTTAGTATAAAATCACGTTATTAATTGTACTCTACCGCATGTTATGGAATTTGTTTTATGTGAATACAGTAATTCGCTTAACCAGTCTCTTTACATCTATTGACGTTATGTCTGGATAATCGAGTAAAGTAGGAGAAAGAAAAACAAAATGGAGATGGGCGAGTTATTTTGCTCATGTTATTGTCTCTTTTAGGAGACTTATTATGTTTGATAATCAGTTTTGATTTGTGAAAACTATCTATTAAACTTTCTGTTTGCTACTTCAAATATTTTGGAGTAGTTTGAAGGAAGAATTTTCCATCTTTTTTGATGTTGAAATAAGTAAGGTAATGTATGAACTCATTTGTCAAGTCATAGCTAATAATAGTAAATAGGCTATAGCTAAAGTCTACCTGTATGAACTGGAAATTTCCACTGTCCTAATTAAGTTGAAAGTTTCTGATGTCACTGTAACATTTAGATATCATATGAGCCAGAGTGATATAGTAATGTGTTCAATTCAAGTTGGATTAGAGAGTATTTTGATTGTTGAAGCCTGAACCGGTAGTCTTAATTATTAGGCTAGTTGTGCTGATATTTCAACATTTTATTACTGTATTACCAAGTCAGTTACTAAGACTGTTGAGTAGTGTGTTTGAGAAAATATCATCAGTCAGGTTAGGGAGACGGGTTGGCTCAGTAATCTAGGCACTTGCTTGCTGGCTGAAGGGTCAGAGTTCAGTCCTCACATATGGTTGAGATGATATCTTCAGATTTTCGATCTGTTTGCCCCTGTCAGTGATTCAGATTGGAGGAAAAATTATTTAACAATTCGAATGGGTCAATAAACTGAGGCCCTGTTTGCTAAAGGCTTTGAACATTAAAGATCCTTCGGCAGTTGGAAATTGATAAAGAGTAGACCAATGCTGCTGTCCTGACCAATCTCCCTCATTGCACACTTCATGATGTTGCTAATATGCCACTCTGGTGCTGAAAAGAAATATGTAAAACTTCATTTCATTACTTTTCTCAGTCTGGATTACGCCCCACCATGACAAGCACATGATAAATTTTATAGGCGAGAATTTCTCCAAATATCTCTCAAATTATCCAAATGATATTTCTTGTAAGTATATTAAGCTTAATATTTTTTTTATTTTTTACATTTTCAGCTGCTCAAATTTGGGCAAAGATAATAGAAAACAGGAAAAAAATTGTAAAAGATAAAAAAAAAAGGAAAATGCCAACTCAACTAACAGAATGTCTGTCATGTCCACGATGTTTAAAAGTGTTCAATGCCAAAGATCAGAAGCCAATAAGTTTAGGCTGTGGACACACTGTGTGTCAGAAATGCTTGATAAACTTATTGAATAAAAAATGTCCGAATTGTCAGTCAGAGCAGAGTATTATAACAAAATCAGTAGAACAGTTACCTGTGAATTATGCCTTATTACAACTAGTTGGTATAGCTATTCCTGATAAAGAAAGACCAGATACTACTCAGATGACTGAAAATAAATCATTATATGAATCATGTAAAAGATATATAGAAGAGTTGGCAGTTCATATGAAGTCTATATCAGGTGAGTACTTACCCAGTAACTTCATTCATATTGTTTAGGGGGTGAGAGCCGACACCTGGCTGACTCTCGTAATCAATGGAACAGGCATCAAAATTTTTCTTACCTTGATGAAGATTCGAACCCACGGCACCTAATCGCCTAGCAGACGACAATCCAACTCGCTACTCACTGAGCTATTCCACTGCCATAGTAAAGGAAGGTCGGCAAATGAAAATTCAACAATTCATATTCAAAACGTTAAAATGTGCCAAAGTCTACAATTACAGTACTGACTAGGATTGTCTATTCTTTATCAAGCAATGAGACAAATGAATACATCCAGGCGTTCCCTTAAATAAAATTGTACTTCCTAAAAATTGTGTTTACTATGTTACAACTTCTTTGAATGGCATGTAATGTACTAATAAACCAATTTATCTCTTGTGTGCTATTAATAATAAGCATTAATGTATATATTGTTTACCTATCACTTCTTATCATTATGTGCCTGAGGACGACGAGGGAAACACGTTGAAACGTTGCATTAAACTTTAACCAGTGATTGTTCTTCCATAAAGCTGTGTCTATATATATTATAACTGTCTTTACTAAATGCCATTCAAGAGTATGGGTACTACATGATAATAAATGAATAAACTTACAGAACAGTCGTGGTTATGATAGTTATGTTTGATATTTGTAGATACTGGTACCGAGTCTGAAGATGAAGACGACAGTGCTAAATACGAACATGGATCCACCAATTCTATTTTGAGTCGACCTATGCAGCGAAAATTGGTTACATTAATCAATAGTCAGCTGGTAGAGGAAGAAGGACGAGCTAGAGCTATGAGAGCAGCCAGATCATTAGGAGAGAGGGCCGTAGCTGAATTGATTCTACAACATCAAAATCCTCAACAGTTATCAGCCAATTTATGGGCTGCTGTACGAGCCAGAGGTTGTCAATTTTTAGGACCAGGTAAGTGAAAGGAATGCCAGGCCTAGTTCTATAATAATATAAATAAATATTGTAAGGTTTACTAAGTTTAATATGTGTATTGATGACACTGATAGCATCGACTTTCACCATTCCAATTTTCATTCAGACGTCTGTGGGTCTTGTATTTCAATGAAAACTAAGCGTTATATGACAAACCTATCAGAAAGGGCCTTAGATATAATTAGCAGCTTTTGTGATATTGACATTATCAGGCTATGGAGTGTATTGTATGTATATTTATATCGATAATTAATCTGTTACAGCCATGCAAGAAGAAGTTCTTAAGTTGATATTACTAGCATTAGTTGATGGTTCTGCTTTATGTAGAAAAGTTTTAGTATTATTTGTGGTTCAGAAGCTAGAAGCTACTTTTCCTCAAGCCTCTAAAACAGCTATTGGGCATGTTGTCCAACTTCTTTATAGAGCCTCCTGTTTTAAGGTAACTCTTTTTGTCTTCTATAAACTGATAAAAACTAATATAGACATAAAACATGACAATTTTGTTTTTTGTAGTATTTTTTGTAATCCAACAAGTTTTCTACAACACTCTCGTTCTAATGATGTTAACCAATCAAAGCATGTAATGTTGAACCCATTTCTAGATAACAATGATGAAATGTGGGATACTGAAACCCAAAGTAGAGATAAATGGTCAGCCAATATACAAAACAGGATTGTATTTCAATTAAGAGTTGTTCGAAATTTGAGTCATTAATTTGAGTTATTCCAAAATCTACACAACTTTCACTGCCTGTCTAAATACTAGTTTTATCAATATTCTGTTACTAGGTGACGAAGAAAGAAGAAGAATCATCATTAATGCAGTTAAAAGAAGAATTTAGAACCTATGAATCATTGAGAAGAGAACATGACTCTCAGGTAGTACAGATAGCTATGGAAGGTGGTCTACGTATCTCTCCTGAACAATGGTCTTCACTATTATATGGTGATTCAAATCATAAATCTCATATGCAGTCTATCATTGATAAGGTACTTATTATTTTACACTCATCTCTTAGACATACGAACCTATGTTTTGTGTATGGATGGTTGTTTTATTTGACTATATTTGTTCATTAAACCAGATAACATCCATGGTTTTCGCCTTAATCTCTTTCAATTGTTTGACTTCCTAGCCAAATGGTGGGAATATGTCTAACTCAAAGGAAGTTAAAATAACGACAATGACCAAGATATATTTGTTGAATTAGATATTCAATGTTTTGAAAGCGTTTCATTATTCATAATATACTAGCATTGTTAGTATATACAAAGAGAGCACCAACTAAACGTTAACGTATTTATATTCTTGTGCATTGTCTGAAAAAATAGATCTACATTGATAAGGTATTTAATATTTTACCTCTTCTCAAATGGTATATCAATATTTTGTTTTCATGAAAAATTGATATTTGGATTTCTTTTGATATATTGTCTTAAAACCTTCCTGTATATGGAAAGAGTATCTGATAAAATTGGATGTAAAGAAATTGGTTTGGACCAATCATACATTTAATTCTATATTTTTGTACTATTCCAGTTGCAGACATCAGAGTCATTTACTCAGAGTGTAAATGAATTGATGGTGGTATTACAGAAGACTGGTGATCCTGCTCAATTACAATCATTAAAACCACATTTACAATTCTTAGCTATGATTGATCCAAGCCAAGGTATTCTAGCTTTGTATTATACTTTACTTACATGAATGACATGGAGTTTTACATCCTACTCTTTGCACCTGTTTGGGTCAATGAGAATAGGTCTTGCTCTATCCTACTCTGTTTAGATTTCCAACTAACTGTTGAGGGATCTTTATTGTGCTCAGGCTGTAAAACACAGTACATTGTTTTTTTCTTATTTGAAGGATGCTTTTTCCATACCAGCCCCTTCAACCAGCATCATTAATAGGGGAAACTGGCGCCATTATTTTTAATTTTGTTGACCTATTAAATTTGACCTTTTAGAAAATGATATCGGTGGTCTGTATGCAAGCATTTCACATGTCCAACTGAAAATTGGAATGGTGCAAACCGATCCTATCAGTGTCCCTGATATTCAAAAAAAGTTGTGAAAACATCTTTACAATCCGTTTATCTGTTATTAAAAAAATTGTTCATGTGATACTTTAGTTGAGAATTCTAAAGTTAAGTTTTATATTTGTAGATAAACAAGTACCATCATGGCAGAATTTAGAAGCAATACTAAAAACTTTAAAGATAGTAATTGATGGATTGATAACTTATTTAAATGATTACAGTCATAAGAAATCTGACGTATTACCCGTTCAGAATGCTCGGTATAAAACTAGTATGTGTCGTGATTTTACCACCACCAGATCATGTCCCAGGGGAATCAACTGTTCTTTTGCTCATTCAGAAGAAGAGCTAGAAAGGTATGGTTTATTCATTACTTTAAATTATTTAAGCTTCTAGATATATATTTGCTTTACCTGCTGATAAAACTTCAGTAGTAATAGTGCTTACAGATTTACAGCAAAGTGGAGAAGTTGCTGTAAATCTGTAAGCACTATTACTACTAACTTCATTTCAGCTATCTGTATAGTTTTCTCGTTATTTGCTTTGCTGCCTTTGAAAGTAATGGCCAATTTCTGTTTCACGAGCTGATAGAGGTCAATTTTGGCTAAACCAACTGTACCTTTAGCACCTGATAGAGGTCAATTTCTTCTTCACAAGCTGATAGAGGTCAATTTCTTCTTCACAAGCTGATAGAGGTCAATTTCAGAATTGAAACTAATGTCGTACCACAAACATATACAATTATGGAGATGTGTTTTTAAAGAAACCTCAAATTGAAACTTTTCTATATACTCTAGGTTCCGTGCTAAGAAGAAATACAGTGTCAAGCCTTTCTCTTCTACAATGTTAACATCAGCAGCCTTAACACCTAAAGAAAGACAAGATTTAGCTAAAGTGAACAACAAATCTTCGATGTTTGATATTCGTAATATGGCTTCTATTAACACTGAAGATGTCCGTAACAGAATTGAGTCCAGTACTCTTAAAAAGTAAGATCTCATTTTAATGACATCAATTGTGTGATTTGTTGATAATATTGAAATTATTCATTGTATCTATTGCTACGTATTAACCTTAAAAACCTCAATATCAGTGATGCATGTCTGAAGGGCTTCCATGGATAAAGTCTCTCATAAAATGAGGCAGTGTGTGTAAAATTTCTTCGATAATTCAAAATTGAATAGAATGGGCTAGTGCAGAATGGAAAAAATTATCTTATTGCACATTTTATGGTTTTGCCGATTCTCAAAAGCTCAATAAGAGTTGATTATAAAAATTCTATCATATTTTATTTAATGGAATCATCAGTTTTCTTGATTTCCGCATATTTGTAGTTTACCAATAGCTACCAATGTTGTCAAGCCAATGATGTCATCACTAGCAACTAAAACTGTGAGCTTAACAACAGATACAACAACATCAATGGCTACCACAGCTATTCCTTCTGTTTCCACTTCTCACAGTATGGCTGGTACTGTAAATGGTAATAATATATCTAGTGTAATATCACGTCACCCATCACCAAGGATACAGCCAGTATCTCTTCAACCAGAAGGTAAGAGTTTACATCCCATATGGACATATTTTCCAATGGCCAAACAAATCTTGTTCAACCCTGGGATATCGTCCATTATTTGGGTCACCAGATTTGAAACTTTTCACTATGTCAAAAGAGACATTTGTGATAACTTTAGTTTTCCCTCCTTCAATTCAGTATAATTTATACATGAAATTGGATCACGTGATTGAGCTCACATGGTGCACGGAGCTGGTTGTAGCAACTCAGGCTAATTTTCCATTTAAAAATTTGGAAGTCTGTTGGCTTCAACTTATATAAATTTAGTTTTGTCAATCTAATTTCAGCTGTTTATTACCCACCTCAGATAAATAATCGGTTACCAGCACCAAACCAAGTTTACCCGACTCCTCATCCAGTTGTAAGACAACCATTAACCGGGGCAGCAGCTAGATACCCTCCTCAACCATATCCCGTTAACCTCCCGTATCCACCAGACCAGCCACCACCTTGTGTTCACGGTTACCATAACTATTCTTTTGATGGGCAGGTACCACCAGGGAACTATCCAGGCCAGTGGCCTCAAACACCTGGAGCAGCACCATTCTATATGCCTGGAATGACTCAACCCGTTTACCCAGACAAGTATGGTAGATATCCATCAATGCCACCAGTACCATCAATACAACCTGCTGTACCTATACAAAATGTTGTACAACCATCTGTACCAATACACAATGTTGTACAGTCATCTGTACCAATACAAAGTGTTGTACAACAAGGAGCTGTACAGCCAACTCCAATCCCAAACCAGGTAAGGTATACTTTATATTTATAGATCTTATATTAGGTGAGTATTCAGGGGCCCAGAAGAATTAAAAAAAACTTAGATAAATATAAAAACCTTTTTATACTGTGGAACTTGTTGGCATCTTACACTAAGTCCCTGACTGTGTCAGTCAACATGATTTCCTTGTTAGCTTCCAAAATCTGATGTCCACAATTCAACATATAAATAGACAAATTGCAGATCCAAATTCCGAAGTTCAATTTTATATTCTGTTCATTATTTCTGGTGGTTATCATTATACTGTTCAGGGAGGGTGACATCATACGGAAGCTTTATTCTTCAAATACCATGACGATATACTCTGTGATTTCCACATAGTGTAGTCTTTTGACTATATCGTATTGTTAAACACTTTTCAGTTTTTCTCCATATCATATGAAAATTGAAATGAAGATGAACTTTCATTGTTAGTTTTCAAAATTTGTGTATTTTGTTGAGTCAAAGTCTCAAAATCGTGCTGTTGGCACAATATAAAAGGTGCAATTAGGTAGAGAAAACAATCTTAACTGTTTGGTTGTTTGTGAAGTTATTCTTTAATCATCCCATATTTTCATATTAAAGAGAAAATCCTGAAAAGATGTTGTGAACATTTTGTAAAACTATGCATATATTTATTTCAGAACTTTGGAAACTGCATAGTGTATCCTCCCCTACCTACATACTATCCCATCTCAACGATACAAACTATGCCAATTGATAATACAAACCCAATTCAATACCTTGAAAATATTGTATATACTAATAATATAGACCCTAGCTCTGAATCAGGACAACCGTTGAACTCTATGACTATCTCAGAAAATGTATATTATGACGAAAATGAATCCATTAATAGTAGTAATGTCATAGAAACAAATGAAAATGTTTCAGAAACAGATGATAAAGTTAATGTCAGTGATATTGAGAGTAATAATAACACTGTGGATGAAAATTAACACTCTGAAAGTTATAGGTTATCATTCACAAGTTTAATCTTTATCTAATACATTTGTAAATAATATGCTTTTTGTATATCATAAAAAAAATAATTTTTCTATAGATTATAATTTCATATAGGCTTATATTGTATATATATATATATTTGAAATCTATTATTTTTCTACATAAGTTACAAGATAAGTTAAAATTCAAGATTTTATATTATTGAAAGTTGGTAATGAACATTTCATATAAATCTATTTCTCAGTTTTGGTGAGGAAAGAATGGTACACTCTGTGAGGATAAATATCCAAATATACAAATTATATTATATATCAGTAATCAGTTAGCAGTAGCTATGTTTCGTGAAACAGGTACTTGCCAGTCGAAAGCAACTTAAGATTTGTATTTGGTTGTCAGGGTAAAGGCCTTATTATTTTGGCAGTTAATTATTAGAAAAATAACTGAACTCTTTAGGCAGACAGACCAGGGTCTCTTTTCTAAGTCAATCTCACCGTTGCAATCTTTATGTAAATACTACGCATTTTTTTGATGGTAGGGCTTTCAAAATGAGAAAGGAAGAATTCTAATGAATTTGTGAAGTGAAGCTATAAGTGTTTTAATTGAGTACTAAAGGCCTACATAAAGTAATTTTGATTTATTTTAAAGTAATAAAGTATTTTTTGATAATCTGAGTATGATTCTACAACAGGGTCATGATGCGAGGGTTATGTGTATCAACATGTCCTTATTCAACACAATGTTTTAACATACATCAATTACATGATATGTGTCTGCCAATGGTCAATTCAATATACTCTTTTCTTTGATATTCATGTCTATATAGCAAATAATTGCTAATTGCATCATAACAACACCACTAATACATCACACTGTAATATCTTGTGTTACTTTAATATCTCAGATAAATGCATTATCTTGACTGCTATTTCTTTTGTATATTGCATAACTTGATAAAAGTCGTATTTTAATACCCTTAAATGCAATACGGGTACATTTCCATATCTTAAATAAGCGCAATATCCTTCGTAACTGCATCTCGAATCTTGAAAACTTGTATATCTTCGATAACTGCACTATAGCTGCAATATCTCGGATAACAATATCTTAAATAAGTGCAATATCCTTCCTAACTGCATCATGAATCTTGAATAACTGCAATAACTCGGATAATTGCAATAACTCAGATAACTGCAATAACTCGGATAACTGCAATAACTCGGATAACTGCAATAACTCGGATAATTGCAATAACTCGGATAATTGCAATAACTCGGATAACTAACTCGGATAACTGCAATAACTCGGATAACTGCAATAACTCGGATAACTGCAATAACTCGGATAATTGCAATAACTCGGATAATTGCAATAACTCGGATAACTGCAATAACTCGGATAATTGCAATAACTCGGATAATTGCAATAACTCGGATAACTGCAATAACTCGGATAACTGCAATAACTCGGATAACTGCAATAACTCGGATAATTGCAATAACTCGGATAACTGCAATATCTCGGATAATTGCAATAACTCGGATAATTGCAATAACTCGGATAATTGCAATAACTCGGATAATTGCAATAACTCGGATAACTGCAATAACTCGGATAACTGCAATAACTCGGATAACTGCAATAACTCGGATAACTGCAATAACTCGGCAATATCTCAGATAACTGCAATAACTCAGATAACTGCAATAACTCAGATAACTGCAATAACTCAGATAACTGCAATAACTCGGCAATATCTCAGATAACTGCAATAACTCGGATAACTGCAATATCTCAGATAACTGCAATGTCTAAAATAAGTGTGATATCTTAATTGACACTCAATGTCTTTGCTGATTTATTGATAAAGACAACATAGCTCGTTTGGATTCATACACCTTCATCTTCACAACTTTTTCATCTTTATTGGAAAACTGCCTTCTTGTTCAAAAAGACTTTTTGGGGGGACAATAATGTCTTTGCAAAATGATGGTAGAAAGAAATGGAATTAATTGTGGCATATATTAAGGGAATCTGGATATACGTTTGGACTTGTCTGTAAGCATTGTATTTTATCTGTGTTATCCTGAAAGATTAATGATTTTCAAATATATGTCACGTGGTTATTGGAATTCAAATTTCACCATGAAACAAATTGTCATCAAAGATGAAGAATTGGAATTGAAATTGGAACGGAAAGATTAGAATTATATATCAAATTGTAATGGAATGTCAAAATTGGAGAAGGAAAATAGAAGAAATATAGAAGTGTTTGAAGAGGAGTTTTACATCCGATTGATCTGTACGGTACATATCAATTTTAAAACACAACTTCACGATAGCACAGATAATATTCTTATAAAAGGTGGTATCTAGAATCTTTCAGTGAAATGGGGGCATGCTGCCAGGGCAGCGAGGGACGGAACAAAACGTCGAAGCCCAGCAGCGTATACAATGGAAAGGTATTGTTGTGTACTAGTCAACTTCAGTAAAGCAACAGAAATTAGCTGTGTCTATACATTCTGAAATTATCTATAAGATTAAAGTAATGCAGAGCCTAAATCTATACTTCTACAGGAGAAACATCTTCACAATATTAAGATATTACAAACTGTGTTTTATACTAGAAACTTTGCGGCTTATTGTTTACAGACTTTCAGTCTTGGAATCTGATTGGCTGTATTAGCTAGTGTATAATCTAACCAAATCCCTGCATTAACAAATTTCCTTGATACAAGAAAGATGACTATTGCAGTCAAGGTAGAAGACAGTTCGTAATATCTCAGAATTGAGAAGATGAATGTGAAACAGCCCATCTTTTCAAACTGAACAAAATTAAATTAACTTGAAATTCTGGTTAAAACTGACTATATCACTTTCTTTCATCCAGTCTCACTTTGTCTGCACACAGCTGCAACAAAAAGACAGAAAAAGTCTGTGTGTTGGAGACTACTTTATGATCGGTTTTGACTTGAAATAAAGTATTAGATTTGGCCTTACTTTTAGGCAAAGTTGGTGATATCAATACTGAAATTTCAGATTAGTGTTTATATTTCAATATATATGAAATGGAAAATCAATTGTATAGACACAGCTAAAGCTAGAAAATGTCGAAAATAACCCGATGGTGTACACTCCACAATAATCAGTCATCTTTATCCATTTTATTCTTGAAATCTTCAAATATCTTGGAATATTGTGTTTCAATTCTCTTCCAAACCTGGAGGTCAAAATTTTCGCGACGTTTAGTTACCCTTTTTGATTAGTGATGCATGCAAATCAGTTTCAGTTTTACTTCTCACCTTCAGTTCAAAGCAAAGAAAATGTTTGAATTTGGTAAAAATCTAGACTAAAACTCAAATAGAAATGTTCTTGTCTATGGTTAAGTAATTGAAAACTTGTGAAATATTAGAATTTGGAATCAGACCAAAATTATCTTATCTTATTCAACCTTATTTGAAAATGGCTGTTTAGTTAGTATAAAACTGAAATTGATTTTATTTGAGTTGATCTTTTATTAAAATATGTCTTAATCTTTTATGATAGTTGTTCGGCCATAATTTCAAAATTTTCATCTTTCATTGTCCTCCAATTCATAACTTAACTCTGACGATATTATGTGTTTTCAGCATTTCAGTCTTCTTGAAAATACTCCATTAACAAAATATTGATATTTTTCTCGTTTAATAGGTCAATTCACTTCAAGATTTACAGACTCGACGCCAAGAGATTCTATCTCACATACACCACAACATCCAGCTAACTCCAACTCTATCAGAATCAGATCAAACACAATATATCGCTAGAGGAGCTTCAAATACCAACCAGGCTAACAGAAGGGAGAAAACTCCTATTTCTATTTGTACCAATGGTGCTTATTGTGGTACAGTCAGTGGAACAGACCAGCATAACATGTGTAATGGCTTATCACAAACAGAGAAAGCATATACCATACTGAAGAAAGAATTGTTTAATAATCCACAGCAAGCACCTGATCCTAGAGATCTATCCTGGCCAACACCACCTATATCTGTTAATGCTATAGCTGAATTTGAAGATCAGTTGATACAGAGTTATCCCTCTTTAGACAATGAAGCTAGTTTGGTGTCTGAATGCCAGAAAAGTTCCTGTTCTGCTTCTGTAGATGATGATGATTTTAATTCTTTCTGTGTTTCATTAGGTATGTAAATTAAGGTTATTGATAAGGTTTTTAACGGCATAGATAAGATATGCTGTTCCTTGCAGGATAATCCATACAGTAAAAGTGAATCATGTCTATATGGTGTCTGGAACCAATCCATGTATTTGCTTTTCTATTTTCTACAAGATAACACTATTAATCTTCTACAGTTCACCACATCTATTTCCACCTACAGATAAGGGTTGGTATCTTTGTGTTTCATTAAAAGCTGATTCCACTCAGTTAATGTGTACTTTATTCCAACAATAGATGATGTTTCACCAATTTACCGGGCCTTTTATGCTTCGTCCAGTTTTACAAAATTAAAAGCAAATTAGATGTAAGCTAGTATTTCTCAATGTTAAAAAATCCATACTGATGACAAATTCTTATTGTAAGATTTCTTAAGGAATAGTGCTCAAGTCTTTACATATATATATACCATAAACAGGAAGAATCAAAGTTGAAATATATTGCCATGGTGTTCTGTAACAAAGTCAGTTAGAGAATAGGTTCTTACATGATGTCATGCTTTGGTAGACCGAATGGTGGTTATGGTTTTAATCTCGAATTCGTGTAAAACTAGGATGAACTTCACTCACAATTCCAAGTTACTTCCCAGAAGTAAGTGGGTACAGATAGCAAAGGAAAGATCAATGCCAAGATGTTTGGCCAAGGACAAGCTGGTAGAAAGATAAAATATTGTTGTTTCTTTCTGTCTTTAGATGAAGATTTGGAGACTGATGGAGATGTTAATTATAGTCAATGGTCTGGTGGTATAGATTGGTCAACACCAAGTTCATCTGATAGTCGAACATCATGTGTAAGTTTATTACATTATACATGGATAAAAACATAAACATGCATATTATCAATCCTGAGTGATGACAATTTGATATTTGTGATCAATATGAGTTAATTAATATTAAATTAAAAATTTTTGTCCTATTTCCTCATATTTTGTGTCTCAATTGTAATCTAACAAGTTTTCTTCTACAGTCTGGTTCTAATGACATTAATTGTAGCCAATGAAAGTGTGTTACATAGGACCCATTTCTTGATACTAATGAAGAATTGTGAGGTAGTGTAACACAAAGAGGCTTTCATATTGCTCTACTGGGTGACACTGCTAAAAAAAGGAATAATAATTTGCTTGATTGAATTAGAAAACGATATCTCACTTTATTATATTATATATTATATTGTATTACAGTCTAGTACAGTTAGTGTAGATTTATTTGATTGGTTTGAGAAGCAATCGATTCAATACAACGCAGTTCAAAGGTAAGATCAATTAATTTTGCTTTTGTATACATGATAGCTTTGGATATTTCTTCTAAAAAAGAATACTTACTACTTAGACGGAAATTGTCAAACTTGTTAATGAGAGTGTATATTGATTGATAAATTTACTTGTGTTATAACTATACAACAGAATCCCTCTATGTTTTTGATATATTTTGAGTTGTGCTGATGGGACAATAAACCAAGGACTAGTGTGTTTCAGGTTGTCCACGTTCAAGATCTCTTGACAGTTGGAAATCGAAGAAGAGTAGGCTGCTGACATGGCAAAATTTCTCTCATTGCACACTGCATGGAATTGCCCATCATTATTAGTCTAATTAGGCGTAGAAAAGAAGGAGGTAAAACTACATTCATTTTTTAATATTTTATAGGATGTCATCCAGTGAATTTATTCCATTTGATCCACCAATAGTTTCACGATTTGGTCCAATATCAAGAGCTGCTAGATCGAAATCAAAGAATAGTGATCCTGTTATAGTGACTGCTGATGAGGTAGGAGAACAGTAGTTATGCCAGAACCTGGTACAATTAGGGGGCAGACTGCCTGCCTTGTATGGTTCTAGGGTCAACTGTCTATATCACTGTACCCAAATTCACCCATCTGAATTCGAACTATAGCACATGTACTTCAATGACTTTTGATTTATCTTTTCTGTTGGCAAATTTCTTACTCTTCATAAATTAATACTTTAATTTCAGTCTAGAATACAATAAAAAGTTATCTCTTTAATTAATTACACATTATATTTGTATTTTAGGCTATTATGAAAATGACACCAGTTACAGCTATAACCCCTACCCAGAGACCATACCCAGTGACCTCCCCTGCCCCTAGTCGGTATAAAATACCAGGACAGTCTATACAACCCTTACCCACAACTAATACCCAAACAACTCACGGTCAACCTCATACACTCTGGCATCAACAGTAAGTTATTATCTTATTAGACATGTAGTTGCTTACTTGCTTGCTAACCTGAAGGTCCTGAGTTCAGCATAGATTGAGCTAATACCTTCTGCTTTTTCAGCCTAGTTTTCCCCTGCCATATAGGTCTAAAGGACTGACATAGAAAAATACATTAATGAGACAATATGTGCTGTTCAGGTTTAAGATCATAAAGCAGTTAGAAATTGAAAAGAGTAGGCTTATGCTGCTGACCTGTCAAAATTTCCATTTAACCAATCTTTTGTGATAGGAGCTTTGAGATGTTGTTTTATTTTGACAGCTCCAACTTATCATTCGCCCATAGAGGAATAGGTGGACAACAGTTACATCGAGAATTAAACAGACTAGAACATAACGCTAGTGAGGCACCAACACAAGATGAACGATTAGCTTATGAGTTACAAGCTATAGAATTAAAGATATCCATGGTATGTATGTTTGAATTTAATATAATATACCACATTGTCTTTACACCAGTTAATATGACTCAAATCTTTCAAGGGCTTCGTCATTCATTCGAATTAACATGTAAAAAATTCTGCGTTCAACAACCAATGAACGCCCAAAAAATCTACATTCAATCCTTGCATACTTCCCTTTAACTCTTGGTTGGAACACTTTCTTTTGTGACATTGGAATAGGTGGGGTCTATACTTTGATATTCTACTGCTAGACAATAAGGGCTCAAAAGGTAAGAAAAATTCTGATTCTACAGCCAGTGCTCTGGAAAATCTGCCTGTTGTTGTCTTTTAACCCCTATCACTTAAATGTTGATGATATATTATTTAGTATGATTTTTATTATATTTATTTATAAAGCGTACTGGTAAACGCCCAGATCCTATAGAACAACCTGATTTAGGTAATATTGAACCACCGGCTAATAGTGCATTATCACCACCCTCCCAACAACAGGTATGTTATTACCAGTTCTTATTTGCAAGTTCATATATACACTGGGAGACAGAATTTTGGTTATATACCCCTCCATTTTAAAAGCATTGAAATATTTGGGTGCCATAGACTATTAAACACTAGAGGGTAAGATTTAGGTACAATTCCTGTCTCCAGGCATTAATGTATGTTGGTCTTAAGGACAAACAAAATGATTTCTAGACAAGAATAGAAATAATTACTATGGTAATGATATTTTTATTATAATTATACAGCATTACTCTATTTAGGTTGATTTGTATCTGAAATGATATTTTTGTTTTTTTGATATTATAGAGAACAGCTCTACGTATGGCAGCTGTTGAAGCTCAGATTGAGAGAAAAGATGAGTTGAGTTTACGTCAACAGCAAGAAGAAGTTGATAGACAGTTAGCAGAAAAACTCATCATGGAGGAATTAAAATCCAAGAAATATTCTCGGAAATAGAAATGGCTGACGGGCATTACTCCTGCTGGAACATCATGGTGGGGCAAAAGTGGCAAGTTCTGCTTATTCTGGATTCAACCAGAAGATCAAAAAAAAAAGTTGGAACACAGTGCAGAATGCATTCCATCTTCTCAGAAAAAGAAATGGGTGTAGATAGATGAAAAATTGTCAGAAATAGAATTGTAGTTTTGAATTTGACATATCAAGTTCTGTATTGGAACAGATAGAACCTGTTCAGGACATGCCAATCGAGTGCCACCCATAACATAATGCTTGGTTAAACAAGATCATGGTTCATTTATTGCACAGTTGTTACTCTTGATTTTCTCTTTGTAAACATGCTTAAAGTTTAAAAAAAAATTTCAAGATATCCAATTTTCATGGTCTTATTAGATCTGAATCAGCATGAAATTCGCAAAGTAAAAAAAATACTACAGATGGCTGTTTTGGGCCATTTTTGTTGTTCTGTTATTAACTTTGTGAATTCTTTATCCCGGTTAGTGAAGAATAAGTATATTTAGGCAGTTACTAGCATAATTACCATTCTTTAACAAATAACATTTAATATTTGTTATTGTGCTTTTAATTAGCTTGTTAGGGTCATGATATATCCTGACTCTAGTTTATTTGGATTGAATTCAATCAAAACTTACGATTTGTTAAACAAATTGTTATATATTAAATAGTATCAATATATACCTACATGTTAATTTGTTGGTGTATATTGTAGTGAAGGTTGTCAACTCGAGTAATTGTTTTTCAAACTAGATGGTTGCATAGTTTCATCATATTTGATTCAATTTTTTGAATTATGTTGTGAAATAGATTAAATTAATGTGTTTCTACAAGTTAAGAATTCATAATGAATTGATTAGAATTATCAGTATATGATGAAATTATCTGTTTAAAAGATAGTAATGTATGATATCTATTTATTATAGATAGTGTGTTGTATTTTCAATCATTAATAATGATAATAATAATGACTTTGGTTATGTATCTAGGATTATTGAACACTGAAAAGGATAGTAAAATAGACATAAGCTAATAGCATTTTTTAAATCTGTTATTTTGGTTGCCTTTTTCCATTTACTTAAATATTGTACTACAAGTTTTTAAACTTAAGTCATATTCCTGAACACTTATTTCACCTGCATGTTGAAACCATTTTTGGAGAAATAATTAAATATTAGCTGGAAAATCAGCTCTCAAGGCCAGTATAAAACAGTTATACCTCTTATTTTTGACATTATTGTCAAAAAATCAATAATGGCATGAGTTTATTTTTTATTTTATGTTATAAATATTATGATAAAAAGTAGAGAGAGGTAAAATTAACACAATAGTAGCTTAGAGCAAGGTTGTCTATCAGAGACTTTGATTTAATAATTAATCTTTCATTAAGTAATAATGCGTATTATTAAAATTTGATATTTTCAACTAATGGCTATTTTGAATACCTCGCTTTGTAAATTTAATTTTGATTTTCATAGTAATATCATATACATACATATCTACGATTATTAACACTTATTTTAGATAATTTGAACTAATATGGTATATTTTGTACATTTAGAGTTCAAAGTTTAAATTTTTTCATATCAAACTGGTTTTCAAAATGAAGACTTTAAAAATCGTGCCAACCATATTGGTAAAATTATTTCTATTCATTCTATGAATGTATTGTAATTTTGTCTTTTTGACAATAATTGGAATATAGTGTGAGTTTGCATTATGCTGTAGTTTGGGCATTATTTAGTGTGTTGATTTAGTGTTGTGTATTTATGACTAATATTTGGTCTTGATTTCTCACTGTCCATTTGGAATGATGTTATGGTGCAAAGGTTACTTGGTGTTTCGTTTGTGCTGTATTTATGACTAATATTTGGTCTTTATTATCTCTATCTCTATTTGTAATGATGTTATAGTCATTTCAGATCTTAACTCAGTTTTATAGTGTCATTGATGTAGAAAGGAATTATAAACTATGAACTACTTGTACAATGTATAATGTACTACGTGCAAAAAGTTCATTACTCTGAAATCTTTTATTGAACAAGTTCCAAACAAATGTTTATCAAGTTGAAAGTAATTTAAAGATATGTTTATCAATGTTATAATATAATTATTATATAATGTATTTGTAACTTGGTGAATATATTGGAATAGAAGTGATTTGATATTTTGTAAATGTTGAATCCTTTAAAGTAAAGCTAAGTAAGACTGACTGACTTGACTTCTGACAGGAATGTTGGTTGCATTTTATAGCAATTTGGCATTCTTCAAAATGGAAGGTGATGGTCAACTGACTCTGCCAAAATATACAAATTATATTCAGTTTTATGGATACAATAGCATGTATTTGGGCAGGAAGTTGTTAATTGTAATAATTGATAAGTTGACCAGCTTCCATTTTAAACAAAAGCCTAATTCTTTGTTAATTTTGTATGGCTGAGCTTTGTTTAAGCTTCTTACCAAGAGTTACATGCACTTTGGTATGACAGATTCAGTAATGGCGGCCAGAAACAAGACCTAGCCAGAAACAAATTGTGCTAAATAATTTCAACAGTGTATTATAGATTATTATTTGTAATTTATTTGTTTTCATAATTAATAAAATAATATTATACGATGAAATTTTAAAATACAGAATGATGGCTGCAGTGGTTCATTGAGCTGTCTTACTTGAGGGTCCAGAGTTCAAACTGTGGATAGGTCCACACAATGCCTTTGGTGTCCCTTTCAGTGATGAAGGGAGAAGAGGCTCACATGGAAAAGGCATTGAGTTATTTAGAGGGGACAAAATGAGGCTTTGTGCTGCAGGCTGTGTCCATTTTAGATCCCTCTCTGGATGAAAATTGAAAAGAGTAAGCAGGTACTGCTGTCCTGGCAAAATTTCTTCCAATACACACTGTCTTCATTAACGTTATCCGGTACAGAAAAAGTAGGATGTAAAACAGGGCGCATTGTAGCATTCAATAAAAATTAAGTGTTTCAACTCCTGAAGAGTCCACTGTCATGCAAATTGGAACCAACTCCCACAGTAGATAATGAAAAATAGTATATGAACAAAGCGAGGTAGACTCTAGTAGCTGTTACATACAAAACTAGGACACAGTGTATTATAAAATAATGTCTTGTACACTTTGATGATGGAATGGACAAAATATATATGCTCTTATAGTAAGAATAAAGGTTAATGGATTCTGTGATTCTGAAAATATGAAAACCAAATCATCTATTGTCGCTTACATAAGATACAGTTAATCCTATGTAGTCTTAATATTCATTATAACTGATCATGAGAATGTTATATTTGGTCCATATTAATCACATTTACACACAGTCTCTCTAACACATGAAATATGAACGTTCTCTTGTTAAAGTTAAAGCTATCATGCTTTAATTACACTAAAATCATTATTATTTTCAAAATAAGGTGTGGTAGCCTTATAACATTGGCAACTGATAGTAGAAAATATAGCAGTTCAATGCCGGACAGAAAGAGTAATTAATTTTTTTTAAATAAATAGTTGAATTTGAGCATGATAGCTTTAATGGAGAGTTTAAATGTACCGAAACAACTTTCAGTATTTTCTTGTTAATTCATTCCTTGATTTTCCCATAACTTTTGGCATCTTCTTGATGGCACCATCATCTAACTCTCTCTGTCTATAATAATGTGGTGCTACTTCCAATAACCAGGAGTTTTCAATTTCTATTACCTTTAATTATAAGAATAAAATGGTTATAACTTTCCAATATACTGAATCTTCAAAATTTGCAGCCATATTATATTTGATCAATATTATTTTGCTTGATTGATGTTTCTAATATGTAAATGATAAATATTATAATCTATATAACAGGATTTTAATTATCACAGACTGTATATAAACAAATATATATCAAAATATTTTGTAAAATTTGATTGTATTTACCGCAGAAAATATTCTAGTTGATTTAACCAACTCTCATTATTAAAAGTAGCTATAATGGTGTACATCTATCATGATTCAACAGTATTAAAGGGATTATAAAGCATCAATTTGCACCATTCCAATTTTCATTCCAACATCTGTGGTTCTTGCAATTCCTAAAACTAAAAACTAGCTCCCCTCTAGTGATGTCATAAAAGGCATTACTTTTAGTGGAATTGCAAGAACCACAGACGTTGATATGAAAATTGGAAAGTTGGAAATAGTGTTCCAATACACATAAAAAGTTAAGAAAACCTCTTTACAATCCCTTTAAGAAAGACGATCTCGAATGAGTGCTTATGGCATATGAAATATATAAACCTGGAAACAGTACTATTGTGTGAAGAAGTTTAATATGTAATAAAAGTTTTGTGGTTTGTCATAAAGTGAACCTAACGTTATATGGACCAAAAAGTGGGATGGGTTTTAAGAACTATATAAGAGTAAAAATATACCTGTCTCATAAATTCTTTAGTAGTAAAAACCAGTTCAAAATAAATAATCCAGCGTGGTCGTTCTTCTATTAATGAACTATTAGGATGAACCATGACAGTTTGTTGGTGTTTCACTGTTTTATATTGACCACCTTTACTCAATCTCACTGTATGATAAAAATACCCTGCTGTTATTGACTGAAATAATAAAATATCATTCTGTTTATAATACAGACCTGAAAATACTCTGAATTTAAAGAAAGTAGGGACACCAGCCTCCTGGTATTGGGATAAAAAATAGGGGGCAAACTGACTCCATTGAGGCACAAATGTTGGGGTTGAGATTTTAAAGCAGGGCAAGCCATGGTGGAATTATTTTAAATATAGAATTAATTAATACATTTATTAAAAGTATGTAACATCCACTTGTAAAAATAAAAAAAGCATGAAAATAAAGAACAAACCTTTCTGATAGCTATAGTATCACCAACATTAGATGTTATATCTATTTCTGTTCTTTCTAATAGTGATTCTAACTGATCTCGTACATCACGAGCTCGTTTCATAGATCTATGTTGTATAAAATTCTCATAACACCATTGTGTAGAGTAGTCTGTCTCTTCCCATTGTGTATACACGTTTAATAAAGTTAAATGATCGCCTCCAGGACGGAAGAAATTCTGTCTTGCTGTATCAGCATGAACTATTTTGTCTTTAGGTCGATAAAATATAGCATTATTCACAGATAACATAGCTGCTATTGTTATTATCTCTTTAGAACATTTATATCTGAAATAATACAAAATTACTAACATAACAACTTGGGGATTCTTTCTTCTAGCAAGACCTTGGCCAAACCTCTCAGCATTGATCTTCCAGAAAAGAACAACCTTTTTCACACGAGAGGCTTCCTCATACTCAGAGAATAAAAAAGATTTTTGCATGTCAGTTCATGTTTACAAAACAAAGTAAGTAGTGGTGTGTTAACAGGCTTGTTAATATCACCAGACACGATGAAGATTCATTATCTCAGTTAATACCTTCTTAAGTGAACACGGTAGAGATATGTAATGAATTCAAACAAAAACAGCTGACAATTTAAATGCAATTCAAAACTTTTTATATTAAATAATGGAACACAATTTTATGGTATACTTCTGTTGAAACGTTGTGTACAATAAATCTTGGAGTAGTATACCATAAAATTGTGTTCCATTATTTAATGTGATCTCTATTCTACTGCTTATGTTGCTTAAGGATTATTTTCAATACTCACTGTTCAGAAGCAATTATCATTTTAGACATCATTGGATCCACAGGAAATTCAGCCATTCTCCTGCCTAACTTAGTCAACTCCCCTTTATGATTTAAGGCTCCTAGAGCATACAGTTGTTCTAAGGCTAACACCAAGGTTTCATGAGGTGGTGGGTCCATAAAATCAAAGTGTATTAAATCATTTATACCTGGAATTATAATTAATTTTAAAAAATACAGTGATGTGGATTTACATTGGATATTTTTGAAGTTTAACAACTGTTGAATGGAAGTGCTAAAAGCCTAAAATATCTAAATGGGTTGTAAATATATGTATTTCCGGTTTTTTTTTCATGTATTTGGGCCATTTATGGCTTCTATTTGCATCATTGCAATTTTAAATGAGATGTGTATGGTTCCTGTAAGTATAGAAAAGCTTAACCTAACTATTCCCAAAACCTTTGTGATAATTCCATCCTTAAACACTTAGTTTTAGTGGAATTTCAAGACCCACAGACAGACTGAAAATTGGTATGGTACAAAACAATAAAATCGTTGTCCCTGATACACATAACAATCAGTGCTATCATTGTTCCTAATACACATAACAATCAGTGCTATCATTGTCCCTGATACATATAACAATCAGTGCTATCATTGTCCCTGATACACATAACAATCAGTGCTATCATTGTCCCTGATACACATAACAATCAGTGCTATCATTGTCCCTGATACACATAACAATCAGTGCTATCATTGTCCCTGATACACATAACAATCAGTGCTATCATTGTCCCTGATACACATAACAATCAGTACTATCATTGTCCCTGATACACATAACAATCAGTGCTATCATTGTCCCTGATACACATAACAATCAGTGCTATCATTGTCCCTGATACACATAACAATCAGTGCTATCATTGTCCCTAATACACATAACAATCAGTGCTATCATTGTCCCTGATACACATAACAATCAATGCTATCATTGTCCCTGATACACATAACAATCAGTGCTATCATTGTCCCTGATACACATAACAATTAGTGCTATCATTGTCCCTGATACATATAACAATCAGTGCTATCATTGTCCCTAATACACATAACAATCAGTACTATCATTCACCTGATATAAAACTTTATAAAACAAATCATAGTGCCATAATACTAACCTAAACTTTTTAACAATAAAACCACATTTCCTAGATTGGTTCTCTGTATTTCTGGAACTGTATTTTCTTCGAGTTCATTTTTATATGCCCAGGCTGTATAGAGTCTAAAACATTTCCCTGCTGCAACACGACCAGCTCTACCAGCTCTCTGATTGGCTGAGGCCTGAAATCAAATCAAATAGAGTTTTACGTCCTGCTTAGAGAAACATCATGCACAAGGGAAACATGATGCTACAAATCAATACTTTATTTAGGTTTAGGGGAGTAAGATTATTACTAGTTATCAAAAATATACTTGAAATAACTAAATTTGATTAAAGGTACAGCTGCGCCATTTTTTTGACCAATCATACTTTAGTCTCAGAAATGGGGACTTTATTATCTATGCCAATCATAGAAAATGTTCACAGCTCAATGACAGAATTTGAACCTTCAAATCCATGTGTGTACAGAATTATCCGCTTTTAAATATTAAAATGACAACTCGTCAAAATAAGATACTCTGTGATATATTGAAAAGATATATACAGATAAAATAAAATTCTGTTGTGAAGACTATTTACATATGTTCAATACTCAAATCAACCCCCTGAAATGGCGCACATTTCCCTTTAATTGATTTAATTTCTTAAATAAATAAATTACCTTAGATATAGGAGTAACTTGTAAAGCTTCCATTCCAGTTTTAGCATTATAACTTTTCTGTTTAGAGAATCCTGGATCAATGACATAAATAATACCATCTATTGTCAGTGACGTCTCAGCAATATTGGTCGCTAATATCACCTGAAAATTACAAGAAATTAAGATGTATATAGATTTACTTTGTTTCAAGATGTTCAACGTACAACACTTTTGTACAACTTTTTATTTTGATCTTTTTTATTGGCTATAAGAAGTCTGTAGTCTTCATTTTACAATAGAAGAAAAATACAATTTATGTAGACTTACTTGGGGTAATGAATATACAACAGAATCTCTCTTTAAAACTGAGTTTTATTGGCTAACGAATAGTATAGTATAGGTATGACACCAGATATGTCCACTCCTCAATATATACTCTTATTGGCTAAGTTTGAGACTTTATGTTCATCTAAAGAAGTAGTATATTGTGAAGAAATGTCCATGATAACCTTCCCAATAAAATCAACTATTACTAACCTTTCTTCCATTAGGAGGTGCTGGTTCAAATATTTTAGCCTGTTGATCAGAGGGTAATGTAGAATATATTGGTAAAATAACTAATTCCTTGATCTTAGAACCTAACTTACGGGTTCTTTCCTATAAAATTTAACAAAGCAAAATGGTTAGTACAAAAGAATTTGTGTAATGGGCTCTAGTAAGTTTTGTCACACTTAGTAACCAACTCTTCTCAGCACGATGAAGACATTACTGAGGAAAGGACACAAAAATACAAAAAGTTTTCATAGCATCCATTGGAGACTGAGGAAAGATGGATGATTCTACATTGTTATAACTTGTATATAGGGACGACGTGAAATATTCCAGTAAATATTCCCCCAATAACTGAGATGTTGATTATAAGAAGATTTTAATTCCACAAAACGTTTCGGGTAACAGGCACCCTATAACTTGTGTAAAATGTTTCTTGATATAAAAAGTGTACTAACTAGTAACATTTCCTGTGATGTTTCTATCTCTTCCTGTCCAGTTAGAAAGACCAGTATATCACCCTGTGGTTGTGTTACATGTATCTGTAGTACTGAAACTACTGCAGCATCTATATAATCAGCTTCTGGTGCCTGAATAATTAATAACTCTAACTTTCACAATAAACAAACACAATTTCCAACATGGTACCACAATACAGTCAAAGGGTAGACTTACCTTATGGAGTTGTACTAAGGGAAAGGACTATCACTGACTGTGATACCATGCGAGGCACAGGGGCATTTCAGAATATCCAATAATGTCTTGATGGACTCTTTAATGGTTCAGCTTTCTATACATACAAAAAGTTAAATTTTGCTTTCATCATGGTGAAAATTCTCGAAAACTAGCGATCCCAAATGAATCGGAGTAACTATGACCTTTTATATCTGACCCTAAACGTGCCAATATTACACCCATAAACCAAGTCGAAGGAACAGGCAGTGATAGATTAGTCAAGCTAGTTATAACTTAAAGTCTGACCTACCTTGGTATAATAAATATGAACAGGAAATCTTCTACCAGGTATACGAAATATTGGAGCATCATCAAAAAACTACAATAGAAATTCAGAAACATATATAACATTATACATACATTTTTTGGTTGAATTGTCAGCCCTTTGCACATTGCCATCAGTCATTTTCTTCAAAAATTTCCCCATTTTTGGGGGGTTGATTTTGGTCTTGAATATATGTTGGCCTAAATAATCTTCAGAAGTACTAAAACTGCGCAAAAATCGAATAATTCCTTCAAATATGCATAAAACTCAAAATTTCACTTTCTATTTTTATATGTATCTTCTACAATTGGTGGAATCTCAAGAAAAGACGAATCGTCAAACTGATAAATTACTACTTTTATCAAACATTTCTGACCTCAGAGAATTTCTGAGCATCCAGGGTAGCACTAGATATCAGTAATTTTAAATCTGGTCGAAATCTTGTTATATCTTTAACTAAACCAAATAAGACATCTGTATGTAGAGTTCTTTCATGAGCTTCATCTATAATCAACACACTGTAATTAAACATTCAATAATTACTCTATAAATAGAGACAACACTTTCACTACATTTCCAAATCATTTTGCATCATTCCAATTTTCAGTCAAACATCTGTGGTTCTTGTAATTTCATCACTATCTATCACAGATGCTCTCAGATATTTAGATAATTAGCAGCTTTCGCAATAGTGATGTCATAAAGCACCCAGTTTAAGTGGAATTGCATAAACCAAAAAGTTTAGAAAACCTTTTAACAATCCTTTTCAGTCCTCAAAAATTTGTTATACAGCTTTCAAAACTTAAATTTCATTGAACACTAAATCAAATTCAACCATCAAACTGTTCAATAAAAATCTTTTTTTGTATACTGTGTTAAAGTAACATGATACACATTATTTGAACTAAAAATTAACAAAATGCAACAAAAAATCAAAAGCAAATCTTACCTATAACTTTGTAGATCTGGTTCACTGAGAAATTCTCGTAATAACATACCATCAGTCATATATTTTAATATAGTTCTTTCTGATGTACAATCCTCAAATCTTATACTATAACCCACCTAGAATATATTAAATATATTATACTATAACCCACCTAGAATATATATAATATCTTACACTATAACCCACCTAGGATACAGATAATATCTTATACTATAACCCACCTAGAATATATATAATATCTTACACTATAACCCACCTAGAATATATATAATATCTTACACTATAACCCACCTAGAATATATATAATATCTTATACTATAACCTACCTAGAATATATATAATATCTTACACTATAACCCACCTAGAATATATATAATATCTTATACTATAACCCACCTAGAATATATATATCTTACACTATAACCCACCTAGAATATATATAATATCTTACACTATAACCCACCTAGAATATATATATCTTACACTATAACCCACCTAGAATATATATAATATCTTACACTATAACCCACCTAGAATATATTAAATATATTATACTATAACCCACCTAGAATATATATAATATCTTACACTATAACCCACCTAGAATATATATATCTTACACTATAACCCACCTAGAATATATATAATATCTTATACTATAACCCACCTAGAATACATATAATATCTTATACTATAACCTACCTAGAATATATATAACATCTTACACTATAACCCACCTAGAATATATATAATATCTGATACTATAACCCACCTAGAATACATATAATATCTTACACTATAACCCACCTAGAATATATATAGTATTTTATACTATAACCCACCTAGAATATATATAATATCTGATACTATAACCCACCTAGAATACATATAATATCTTACACTATAACCCACCTAGAATATATATAATATTTTATACTATAACCTACCTAGAATATATATAATATTTTATACTATAACCTGCCTAGGATTTATTACTACATCCCAGTTTGAATGCTTTCTATAAGAACGCAATAAGGTACGATACACCATGGAGAAACACAAGATTCAATTTTAAAAATCTGAGTATCAATTTAGATTTTAATTTCCATTTAATTAATATTCAGAAGAAATTGAAATATCTGAGTTGTATAGATTCACATGGTACCAGCACAAGTTCAATAACTTGACTTACCTCATTACCAAGTTTCCAGTTCATCTCCTGTCCAACTCTAGCAGCTACTGACATGGCAGCTACACGTCGAGGTTGAGTACAGCCTATCTTCATTCCATTATCAGTATAACCCTTAAATATACAATAACACATCATATTATCACTGTTAAATTAGTGCTCAATACATTAATTGTAGAGTGATATAGAAATACCACTGTTAATATATTCATCGATTCATCAATTGCAGAGTGATATAGAAATACCACTGTTAAAATAGTGCTCAATTCATCAATATTATTGTAGAGCAATATAGAAATACCACTGTTACAATAGTTCTCAATACATCAATTGTAGAGTGATATAGAAATACCACTGTTAAAATAGTGCTAAATACATCAATTGTTAGAGAGATATAGAAATACCACTGTTAAAATAGTGCTCAATACATCAATTGTAGAGCAATATAGAAATACCACTGTTAAAATAGTGCTCAATTCATCAATTATTAGAGAGATATAGAAATACCACTGTTAAAATAGTGCTCAATACATCAATTGTAGAGCAATATAGAAATACCTCTGTTAAAATAGTGCTCAATACATCAATTGTAGAGCAATAGAGAAATACCTCTGTTAAAATAGTGCTCAATACATCAATTGTAGAGCAATATAGAAATACCACTGTTAAAATAGTGCTCAATACATCAATTATTAGAGAGATATAGAAATACCACAGTTAAAATAGTGCTCAATACATCAATTGTAGAGTGATATAGAAATACCACTGTTAAAATAGTTCTCAATACATCAATTGTAGAGCGATATAGAAATACCACTGTTAAAATAGTGCTCAATACATCAATTGTAGAGCAATATAGAAATACCACTGTTAAAATAGTGCTCAATACATCAATTGTAGAGCGATATAGAAATACCACTGTTAAAATAGTGCTCAATACATCAATTGTAGAGCGATATAGAAATACCACTGTTAAAATAGTGCTCAATACATCAATTGTAGAGTGATATGAAAATACCACTGTTAAAATAGTGCTCAATACATCAATTGTAGAGCAATAGAGAAATACCTCTGTTAAAATAGTGCTCAATTCATCAATTGGAGAGTGATATAGAAATGCCACTGTTAAAATAGTGCTCAATACATCAATTGGAGAGTGATATAGAAATGCCACTGTTAAAATAGTGATAAATACATCAATTGTAGAGCGATATAGAAATACCACTGTTAAAATAGTTCTCAATACATCAATTGTAGAGCGATATAGAAATACCACTTTTAAAATAGTGCTCAATACATCAATTATAGAGCTATATAGAAATACCACTGTTAAAATAGTGCTCAATACATCAATTATAGAGCAATATAGAAATACCACTGTTCAAATAGTGCTTAATACATCAATTATAGAGCTATATAGAAATACCACTGTTAAAATAGTGCTCAATACATCAATTATAGAGCAATATAGAAATACCACTGTTAAAATAGTGCTCAATACATCAATCATAGAGCAATAATCCTGAAATGAATAGTGTTAGCCACCAAGGTCTATCAAGGGTTAGAGATCTATCTATTTTGCTCTACAATTGATGTATTTTCATTTCAGGTTTATTCATAAAGTATAAAAGATAACAAATTTTAAATAATTTTGTTGCTTATTTTAAGTATTGAAAATAAGAAAGAGTAATACATACAGCATCATGTAAATATTGAGGTATTTGTGTTGTTTTCCCTGAGCCTGTTTCTCCCTCTATAATCAGTATCTGATGTTCTGCTATAGCATCTATCAGGTCTTGTTTAAACGGATATATAGGTAAACTCTTCTTGGTTTCTTCTATTGACATCTTTTTAGATTTCTTTACATCCATTTCAGGCATATCCTTAAAAACAACATCAAAATATCAATTCAGTTTCCTTTCAGCAACTTTTATTTCATGAATATATGTAAACTAATTGATCAACAAATATGGAAACACAATTATTTCTAAAAAAGACAAAAAATGTGGCTGTCTTTAAAATGCTCATATTGATAAATAACCTCCATAACATAAAAATATATAATAGAAACCGTTTCATCTGTTTACTTCATCTGTCATTCATGATCTGACTTCTTTAAATCGTGTTTTGCATGCTAACCAATCAAACACACTGTTAATAAGTTTTAACTTACCGTATCTTTATTTGAGCCAGGCATTTTCAATGTTTGTACAAATTCAATTTCTTCTTCCATAATAACATCATATTCCTTCACTTTATTCTTCTTCTTGGCATCTTTAGCACCAAATTTCAGAGTAGCAGCATGAAGCTGTTCTTCTTCCCAACGCTTCTGTTCATAATTCCCTTTCTCCATCTCATCCTCCACATATCTATCTTCTGGTTTCACATCATCTTTAGGCATATAATACCGGTTCACTTTCTCAATCTCCCCAGCTTTCAGATGTTCAGACGCTAATTTCAATACCTTCTTTTTATATTCAATATTCTGTTTCTCTCTCTTCGACAATCTTAAATATATTAAATAGAAATTATAAAATTGAAAAGATCTCCTGTCACATTGATTGTAAGATAGCTTTCATGATACTCAAAGCTTCAGATATAAGGCACTACTGATCAAACTGCACAAGAAATTATAGTGGGCAGATGTACATATAAGGTGTATTCTTTTCATATGCAGGATCATTGAAACATCAATTCAATCTGACCCTTGATCGCTGGCTCTCTTTGCTTTAGACGTCCAACTAATACATAGTAAGCAATATGCTTGTATAGAATCAGTAGCTAGACCATTCATTTTTATAAATTAATTTCAGTGTTCAAATTGTTGTAATTGGAAACTATTAACTAAATTAAACTTACTCTAGAAATACAAATGCAGAACCTGAAACATGTCAATACATAGAGTCTATTTTAGTAGACAGTAATAGATAAGTTGTCTGAAGAATGCACTGCATGAAATGCTTGAGTAACAACATGTTTCAGGTCCTGTTTTAATATTTTAACAATAAAATTATTTCAATATCATGAATCTTACTTGACATCTTTAAATAGAAATTCTTCATCAACTAAGTCTCCCTCTAAATCGTATATCTTGTCAGCTCTTCTTTTCTTTAAATAATCACGACGCGATTTCTTTCGTATTTCTGGAATTATCTTCTTTCTATCTTCAGTTTCCATCTGCAGCCTTTTCTTAGCTTCCTCATATGCCTGGATTAACATTAAATTGAAGTATAAATCGGAAAGTACAGATTCAACTTCATAAAAGTGAAATGAAATTGTCATAGGATACTTAAGGTAATTATAATGAGGTTTTTTTGTTTGTATTAGGGACATTAAAAGCATTGAATTGCTCATTTAGACATCTTGCAACTTGCAATTCCACTAGAACTAAGTATTTGGTGATGTCACTAAATTGATATTATTAGTGGGGACAACTGGATTGAAAAAAGCTAACTGCACTATCTAGATGTACCCAAGATTGAGCTCTGTCCTCACTGACACATTATCATTTTCAACTCCCATTCATTTGAAGGAGTATATAAATGTGGTGACAAAAAATACAAAAAATTGTGTTTTTATTAACACTATTACTCTAAGTGCAGAAAAACAAGAAAATGTTTATGTTTATAAGTAAATTACCCTTTGTTCACAAAAAGACAACCAATTATGACTTGAAATATTTGAATACTAACCCTTTGTTCTGATTTAGAAGCAATGTTCCTGGTTTTTTCTTTATCTTTATCTTTCAATCTGTTGGCAAACTCATCTCTTTCTTGTAGATCATGTAGCCTCTCTTTCTCCACATCATCACTATCTGAGGCTGAAGGTGATCTTCCTCGCTTCTGAACAGGTTCATCTCTAAAATATAGAACTATTGTTTGTATACAGTAGAAAGCTATATATGGTTATCAAACTTTAACCGTCCTGCATTCTCATTTTGTGTGAGTGAAAATTTTCTTTCAGTCAACACAAGTAAGTTGAAAGGTTAGCAATATTGTTATTGACTTTTAACAGTTACTGCCCAGCTCAAAATAATTTAACCTGAATGGTATTGTTAAAATATACATGATATTTACTTACTTTGTTCATGTCTAAATATTAAGAAGACGACATCCCTTCCAACTCACTGTCCTGTATTAGTAAGTATTTCATATTTGTTGACAGAGTGGATGTAACTCAATATTAAACAAGACAGTCTCAGAACACAAACCAGCCTAATAAAAATTAGAACAAACTTTCATTCCGTTTTTTATTACCTTTTATATTTATTGTAGCCATTTCAGTGAAGGTCTTCAGACAGCCTTATTGAAGATTTGTCCCTTTGATGACACTGCTAGCCAATCAAGTTCCTGCCCTCTCCAACGCGATGCTAACAAAAAGGTGCATTCATTGTCTAATGCTTCTCAGAATACACCTTCAGTTCGCGTCACATAATCCCAGCGTTCAAGAGGGCAAGAATGTGATTGCCTGACAGCATCCTCAAAACAAAGCTTCGAAAAGGCTATCTTTAGACCTTATCTGGAGCAACTACAATAAAAATAAAAGCTAATAAAAAACGAAATGAAAGTTTGGTCTAATTTCAATCAGACTGGTTTATGTTCTGAGACTGTCTTCAGACCCTAACTGAAGTGGCTATATTAAAAATAAAAGCCGATGAAAGAAGGGAAGTTTGGGTTAATTTTAATAAGACTAAACAGAAACCTACTTTTCACTTTCACTACTACTATCAGACTCTTGTTTCTTTCGTAAATGTTTCTGTCTTTTATTTTCTTTCTTTGTTTTCTAGAATAGACAAAAAACAATTGTAATATGAATATACATTGTGATAAGGGATGAAAGCTGCCACCCAGCAGACTTTCAAGAGCACTGCAAGTGGCATCAGACTTTTTCTAGTCTTGAGGGGAATCAACCCAAAATGACAAAAATGAACAAAATATGAAAAAGTTGATTTTGAGAATGAAGTACTGAGTCAACAAAATTTCAAGTTTTGTGATAAATGAAAAATATTCAATATATGCAACACCATATTTAAAGAGTTTTCATCCATCACCATTCGTTATAATATGGTTTCCACAAGGCACATAGATTTGATTTGAATAAATATTAGTACCTTTGTTGGTATTTCATAATCATCATCATCACCATCAGATAGAAGTTGAAAGGTCTGATTTTTTCTTTCTAACTCCAACTGTGATTGCTGCTCTGTAGTTAACGATTTCACAGCCTTCTTTTTATGAGGAACCTTTAAAAAAAAATTGGTCAATAAGGTATCCTGATTTGATTAATTCCTGACCATTTTATAGTCTACCTGCTGCTCAAATGGTTGCCAGAAGCTATTTCAAATTATAATGCTTTCTCTAATTTGGCAAAGGAAAGTAAAACCTAGGCGTTCAACTTAGGCTAAGTCTTAGTAGTGGTCAATCTAAGATCAAATATTTATTCAAAAGGAAATGGTTTATGGTCATAGACAACTCACAGACAACTATTTACCTGATGTACCTGATCTTTGAGATCACCTTGTTATTTTATAGTTTGTGTGCGCAACTATGTTATGTTAATAAACAGAATCAGGAATAGTTAAGGCCTTATTCCAAAGTAGGTGACTGACAAAGAAATACTCACTTTATTCCACAGTTCTTTTGTAAAACCGATAATATTATCATCCACTTCTACAGTTCCAGTTTCTTTCAATCGAAAAACAAAGTCATCTGCACTCGATGATTTACCGGCTAAGCCAACAAAGTATTGAGCGATATATTTATCTGATATGCCCAATAAATCAAACAGCTTCTCACTAACCCACTTTTCAACAGACATTGTGATTTGATTCCTCTTATTCTTCAATTTCTGTTAAAAGTCAACAAAATATTGTTTTTCCTGGGCGCAGCCATTTGCACAAAAACGTCTTTGATCGTTTACACAAAAACTGATGACGTTTGTGAAATTCGAGGTTTGTCTAATCACTCAAATATATCATATTGTGAAGAAATATCTGATTGGATAACAAACTCAATTTTAAATCAATTTTAGTGTTTGACCAACCAGATGACTGGAGCACTAAAATCATTAACGGAACAGATGGCCATTATTTTGGACCAATTATTCTTTAGTCTCCCAAATGGGAATTTTGTAGTTAAGCAAATCAGTTCAATGCTCACCGTGCCGTCGAAATTTGATCCATGTGTGTCCAGAATTATCTGTGTTTGAATTTTAAAATGACGACTCGTCATTTTGAGATACTCTGTGATACATGTAACATAGAAAAGACATATATAGAAATAGTGTGTAAAATTCCTTATTTGGGATATTTTTAAAGGTATTATGCGATTTTCGTACATTTCTAGTACTTCTGAGTGAAGACAATTTACATATATTCATGACTAAAATCAAGATGACGCATCGCATCTGTCCCTTTAAGTTAAGTTTTCCAGAATTTGATGCAGGTTACTACATGTCAATTTTAACGAATTTGATTGGTTGAATTATAAGTGGTCCAGCATAATAATTTCGTGAGATCTCGGATGGGAAGTGAAGCCACCTATAGAAAAAAAATATCCCAATTTGCATTTACGTTTAGTTAATTATCCCAAAACTCGACAAATGAACGGTTGATTAAATGGTGCCTATTTTAAAAAAAAATGCCGAAATCTGAATGACCAACACCAAACTTGTTGTTTTATCAAATGAAACATTTTACCAGCCATCCACTTCACTTTAAGACATAGTGGCAAATACTTACTAAATTTTGACATTCATGCTTAACTGTTTTTGAGACCAAGATAACATTACTTTGATATCGTCTTACATAAGGCCTATGTACTTTTCAATGTCAAGGAGCTTGTTTATCGAAATTTCGAAAACAAATTGGTGATTCATGACGGTGACTGACTATGATAATTGTCTTGTAAGTTGTATTCATATTAAATGTAAGTCATATTACAATAAAGTCTACTAGGATATTGTTGAGGATCTGTTAAGGTGAAATATACTGTATCTGTCATTAAGTCATAATGTTTACAGTATGTTTGTTAATGGCTCTGATTGGCTGTATTGTGTGGCGTAAAATCCAATCAAGTCGCTGCATTCTGTGAAACGAAAAAGTTGGCTACTGTAGACAAGGTATAAGACGGAGTTTAAAATACCTAGATCATTGTGAAGATGCACTAAGAAAAGCCCACTTTTGACGCCCGTCTTCCTTTCCTTTAAATCATGGACGATATTTTTCATTCACGGATAACTTAGTAATTTGTCTATTAGCTCGTGAACGTGATAGAGGTAGCAGTTTTGATCCGATTTTTTAAAAAAGCATATTGACTAGATCTCAGATGAGCTTGAATTACACAATATTTGGATAAACGGATTAGTTAGTACACCTGAACTGAGAGAATATGCATATTGGATGATTTATTTTACGTTGTTGTTTTCTTACCGAAATCTCTAGGATAATGCATATTGCTGAATTATGTCGCAATAATACGCGTCCGTCACTAAAACATATAGGGCCTACCTGTATTTCAAACTCATTAAAAAGCACTTAAAGTCAATCCTCAAAAACTCTTCTTAGTAAAACTTAAAGGGACAGATTCGCCATTGTTCCTTGGTCTCAGAGACGGGATGTTAACCAGTAACAATTTATTCTAACGGATGGTGCATATTATTTTGTGAATGGGCAACTTTGAAGTTGAAAGACGCAGCTTTGAAAAAGGAGTAATGACTCCCAAAATCCGTCACCACCAAAATCAAAAATGCGATATACATTTCCCAACCCTATATAGGAATGTATACATTGCCAAAACTTGCTGGTAGCATTGTTAACAAAGTTCAGAGATAGTGGAGACAGTGCATGTCGCTTGCCGTCTTCTAGAATCACATGTGGTGTGGTGACTATAAGAGATTTCCGCCATAGGCTTATAGCATCTTCACAATGTCAACCTATTACAAACTTCGTACTAATACTTTGACTACAATAGCCACCTTTCTTGTATCATGGAAGTTTGTAAATTAAGCGTTTGCCAACAAACTAACAATTTTGATTGATTATTGAAAAATAAACACATGAATACTCGTTTTGTTTATTGAAGCATTACCTTGTCACACATCATAGAAGAGTTTAACTGTTCTAGATGGAACAGAAGGGTCCTATCAATGCCTAGTATTTCTTTTAAAGGGATTGGTTTCCAAAACTTTTTATGTGCACCGCGGACTCTGCATGAAGGTATCGATTTGAACCATATAACTATATTTGCAAATACAAACCGTTATTGGTTCCGATACTCCGATATAAAAATGCAAAAATCATTTTTTTGAAGATGAAACAGTAATATATGAGAATCCGAACACTTTTTCTATTTCAAAACAGACCCTTACAAAACATTGTATATTTCCATTGGAGACAGATAATACTAGACTCTGTCCGTCATTGTAATATTTCAAAATATGCCGGTATGGAGAAAACACATGACCTATTTACACTCCCTATAGTTCGAAAAGCTACCCAATTGCGCAATAAAATCAAAAAGTATCCCTTACAGTCCCCCTTTCCTAGAAAATGATGTAATGCGATCTAACCCGGATATGTTTGGTATATAAAACTCAGTAAATCGGTGAAATTAAATACAACAAACGATTATACAGCGAGATGAAGAATTTCTACTGTGCAGTGTTCGTACTAATTTTAGGTAAGGATCGCATAACAGTTCTAAATATTCGTCATATTTTACACAAAAATTGATTAGTTTCAAATAGACAACAGGAATATTTGTAAAGTATTCAATTTAAATTTAGAAAACGAGTTTAATTCAAACTTTAAGAAATATCGGAAAAAGTATTTTTTCCTATACATATTATGAATTGTTTAATTGATATAAAATATTAAATATAGTTCAGTGGCTTAGAGAGAAATCACTTTCTACTAAAATTTGGATCTTTCTTCTGATATTACTTAATATGTAAACAAAATATTGGTAAACATCCATCCTTCACAATTTTATGGCATCGGGTCTTTGCCCTTCAGGTGTCCACCACTGCCCAATACATCAATTGTAGAGCGATATAGAAATACCACTGTTAAAATAGTGCTCAATACATCAATTGTAGAACGATATAGAAATACCACTGTTAAAATAGTGTTCAATACATCAATTGTAGAGCGATATAGAAATACCACTGTTAAAATAGTGCTCAATACATCAATTGTAGAGTGATATAGAAATACGACTGTTAAAATAGTGTTCAATACATCTATTGTAGAGCTATATACAAATGCCACTGTTAAAATATTGTTCAATACATTGATTGCAGAGTGATATAGAAATACTACTGTTCTGTGCGATATGAATTTTCAATTTATAGTAACTATTGAAATATATTTTATTATAGAATGTTCGTCGATATATACATTACCAACGGTAACGCCCCAAACAGCACCACAGTCAGGTATGTTTTCATCCCTTTTTTTATTTAATAGTAATTCTAAACAGCATATTTGAGTGTGTCAGACACCTTCCATCTGCAACTTTGCTTTTTCAAATACAGCCATGTGACCTATTCGACATGTGATTGAATATATCTTGTGGATAAATTACCGTGATCGAATTTCCTATTTGCAAAATTACCGTGACCAATTTACCGTGTGACAAAATTACCCTGTGATTTAGCTAGTGGCCAAAATACCCTGTGGCTAAATTACTGTGACCAAATTACCTTCGACGGAATTACTGTGGCCAAATTACTTTGCGACGGAATTACTGTGTCCAAAAAACCTGGAGATGGAATTACTGTGACCAAAATACTGTCATCAAATTACCTTGTGAGCACTTTAATCCATGCAGTATATTTTTACATTATTTAATTTATATAATTTGTAACCAATTTCAGGCGGCTGTGACGTACAGTCTATAACCCAATGTCTAATAGCTATGGGAGGAACTGTTTCAGACGTATTTGCTTCCCTGCATTCCAGCCCCGAGAATTTTAAATCAATGTGTCGGTAAGTTTAATTATCAAAATTATTATCAATGTTCTTATTGATGATACAATAACAAAACATTTTCAGTGATAAATTAGAGCTCAATACATCAATTGTAGAGCTATATAGAAATGCCACTGTTAAAATAGTACTCAATACATCAATTGTAGAGTGATATAGAAATACCACTGTTAAAATAGTGCTCAATACATCAATTGTAGAGTGATATAGAAATACCACTGTTAAAATAGTGCTCAATACATCAATTGTAGAGCTATATAGAAATACCACTGTTAAAATAGTACTCAATACATCAATTGTAGAGCGATATAGAAATATCACTGTTAAAATAGTACCCAATACATCAATTGTAGAGTGATATAGAAATACCACTGTTAAAATAGTGCTCAATACATCAATTGTAGAGCTATATAGAAATACCACTGTTAAAATAGTACACAATACATCAATTGTAGAGCGATATAGAAATACCACTGTTAACATAGTGCTCAATACATCAATTGTAGAGTGATATAGAAATACTACTGTTAAAATAGTGCTCAATACATCAATTGTAGAGCGATATAGAAATACCACTGTTAAAATAGTACACAATACATCAATTGTAGAGCGATATAGAAATACCACTGTTAAAATAGTGTTCAATACATCAATTGTAGAGTGATATAGAAATACTACTGTTAAAATAGTGCTCAATACATCAATTGTAGAGCGATATAGAAATACCACTGTTAAAATAGTACACAATACATCAATTGTAGAGCGATATAGAAATACCACTGTTAAAATAGTGCTAAATACATCAATTGTAGAGCGATATAGAAATATCACTGTTAAAATAGTGCCCAATACATCAATTGTAGAGTGATATAGAAATACCACTGTTAAAATAGT